AATGAGTAAACAACCCACTTCTTTGTTCATATAAAAATTTCCTTAGTTTTATTTCCATAATCTTTTTTATTAATTTTTTTCATCAATTTTAACGAAAATGAAATAATTTTAAGTTAAATATTTAAAATTTATTCATGGAGAATTGCACACAATCTTTGAGAGAGTACATGATTTCTTTATCATGGATTTTAGAGAATTTGTCTAAAAAATGCTAAATTTATGTAGAAAATTGTCTAAAAAATTTTTAACCATTGATCATTGGATAGATCAGTTTTATTGAGGTCTAAACATATTTGCAACAAAGATAGTAAAACATTTTAAATAGTGAAGCAAAATAACTGCCATTATATTTTCGAAAAGATGACAGACAGCTTTCATTTGTCAAAAATAAATCACCTGGCTATCTAATCTCTCTCTCTTATTGGCTTCATTTATAGTCGCATTGTTTCGCAGATTTTCGCAAAGTCATTTTAACTGAAGTAACTGATTATTCAGTGATTTGTGTATCATCAAAAATGTAATCTATATAAGTTCTGATATTGTATATGACGATGCCAATCCATGAAGCATTCTACTATCATCTGATGATCAAATTCTAATATTTAGAAATGCAGAATGTCAGGTCTAATAAAAGTTTCGGACTTTTAAAGTTGGAGATTTCACTTCATGAATGAGAGCTCTGATCTCGAAGTTTGTTATTTCAAAATTTGCATTCATTCAGGAATTTTATTGTCAACATGATTTTGCTAATATCACTTTCAAGCAACAATGCTAGCTACCTTATTATCACAAAATCGGCTCTTTACAAACTCTCAATAACTGGCCAAATTGGTTATAGCAAATGGAGTAGGAGAATGGGAAGGATGCAATAAAATTGAAAGCTGTCAATAAATGTGCCCAGTGATAGTTTATGCTTCAGATTAGAAAATAAAAGAGAGGAATACTTTCGTTGTAAAGTGCCTGAGTTACCTTCCATATTCCATATTTGGTCTTTACTTAAACTTTTTTCTTAGCCAAAAATGTGTGCTAAAGCAGCAGTTTTGGATTTTGGCTTGAGAAACTTTCTCTTTTTTTCTGTGGATGCGAAAAGAGATGGATGGCTTTTGCGAATAACTTACTAGAAACAATGCTTCATCAACAAATTGAATTTACTTAAGGGAACAAAAGAGATTAGTTGCATCCATTAGCGCGTTGCTTCCGTTTTCCGTCTCAACACTTTGATTATATGTAAGGCCACTTCCTAACTGCAAATAGTCCTGTATTTGCCTTACTCATTCAGCTAAGATTCAAAATTTGAATGTTTACTTCTTAATTTTTCAAAATTTTGCATGCAACTGAAATCATTATCAAGTGAAATAACTTAACGTCATTATCAGACCGCAGAATATTTACGTCATGGTTGTATTCTGGTAATTTTTTCGGGATTTTTCAATAAAAAAGCAGGGAATTTTTCACTTTTAAATATCACTCAGAATCACTTACAGCATTAATCTCTTTTTGTTCTTCGTGGTTGTCCTTCATCTACATAGTAAAAAATACGATTATAGCTATATTATGATTATAACTATGTTTGAATTTTTGTGCAGAGTCAATTTCTAATTTGTCAAAAACAAAATGAATAACAAATGAACATTTCTAGAATAATTCTAAAAATGTTTTCTTTTCCTTTTTTTACTTATAAATAGAATCAGACAGTACTGTATATAAATAGGTTACTGTAATAACCATTATTGGCCTATTGAATGTTCAAGATTTACTATTCTAATTTAATTTTCATTCTTAACTTCGAAATCTTAAAATCTTGAAATTTTATAACAATGCTCATTGATGTACCTTCGAAAGATGATTCGGAAGACGCAGAGGCAATTCATCAAATGTAAATAGAGAAAATGAGATGGTTCATTAAATGGTTAAAGTCTTATTTTAAATTTCAGTTAGAAATTGAATTTGCTGCTCCACATAAAGAAATAAAATTAAGGATTAGGGCAGTAACTGAGTACGGAAAAAAAGCATAGAACCTATTCTGTTATTTTCTCTTATTAATCATAAATACTTTAAATTTTATATGTTTAGCAAATCAATTTCTAAATCATACAAGGCAAAATTCTTGATAATATCGTTACTTCTTTAAAAACTTTATTAGACGAATAATTAGAAATAAACATTTCACTTCCATTTCATTTATGAATAACATTTGTTGCTTTAAATTATGCCAATATTTTAAAACTTGAATTTTTCGTAATTTCCATTTCACAATTGTTTCGGATGCTGTAGAAGCAATTAATGAATAGCAGCAACTCATGCCGGATATATCGCATGTCGATTATTTGAAGATGAAATTACGAGAACTAATCACCATTATTTATTCATTTGAAATCTTTCTATTTACTAAAATCATTCTGAGCTTATCACTCTTTTTATCAATTAGATTTGCCTCGCTTTTTAGATAGCAAAATTGTAAGTTTATTACTGTTAAGTGGAACAATTAAAATGAACACATAATCAATATTTATATATCAAAAAAGAATATTCCCTCACAGAAAAAAAACTGCGTGAAGTTCGAAAATTATGTTAAGTGATGAAAATTTATTAACTTAGAAATGGGAAAATTTAGAATATCAATTTCTTTGAAAAGAGATATTCTCAACGAGAAATGGATCATATCGCATCTTTTTACTCTAATAATGGTGCTAATTCGTTTCATATAGGTAAATAACTTTTACGGTATTACAGATTAGCTTTAATTAAAAAATAATTTCAGTTTTGAAGAAGAGCAGTTTGATATAAAGGTTTGCATTGTGTGTTTTAATCAAGGACATAGATGTTTATGAGAGAGTTGGAACTTCTGAATCATTTCAAGATGACGAAAATGAAAATGTGAATTTATTTCGATGTACTTTTTAAAACTTAGAAAAAAAAAAAAAAAAAAGACTGCCTAACGCTGTAGTAATGCAATACTCAAGCAATCATTTGCATGAATAATTAACTAAAAAATCGGCAAAGAGTCATCGATACTTATAGAATTCTTTTTCACAATGTTAGTTTAGCAGTATTCTCTCAAAATAAATTTAAAGAAATCCCTAAAATTTCTTGTCACTTTGGCTGTTTCTTCAAATCTTCAAATAGTGCAGGTTCAGGCTTAGACTTAAAGCTATCTCATAAATAACTCATCATATCATTTGCTAGTAACATTTTTTGCGTCCCTGTGGTTTAATTAAAAATGTTGTCTATTGTAGTTTGTAGCTCTCCAAAGTGACAATTTTTATTCGCAAACATCTTGCGTCTCATAATTAAGAATAAAAATGATTATCATTCTATCTGTAATTTTAAAGTTATTCAATTAATTAGAATTATTTCAAATGTATTCAGAGAAACATACTGTATATAGTTATTTTGAATGGGAAAAAAAGGAAAACCAATAATTTTTACGTATTCTATATGATATCTATATATAGGGGGAAATTTTGCAAAAGTTTTATTTAAATTGATAGCTATTACTCCGGGGAATACTGTACAAATAGCAGGCAGGCAAGACGAGTTAAAATGCAGCCATTTAATTTACGGATTTCGGAGAGACAACGTTGAGTGGTTAGTTCTACGTCAAATTTTACTCATTCTATTACACAAACAACTTCAACTATTAGAATCACTGGAAACTACCACAATTTTTTTTTTTTTTTTTTAATGATTTGCTTACTCATGAGTAGTTCCTCACTTTAATATTAATTTAGTTGACATCAACGTAACTGATCAAATTTTACCCTAAACTAATCTTTGCAGAATAGTCTTGAATTCTCCAATTTAATACTTTCTTTTCATTCTTATTTTATATTTTTCGTTGTTTATTTATTTTTCGTAACCAATGTTTGCTTTTATTGACACAACTGACGTGATATATTCCATGCAGCTATTTTTATGGTTTTCATCTTGCGTATCTGCTTTGATTCTAAGTGTTTCACTCAGTTATATTAATTAAAAAATGATAAGAGTTTCTAATAAGAAGCAAATGATTTAAAATATGCTTGACTTGTGGAACGTGAAGTACTTTTCCATTTCATCACTGTTATTTCATTACATTTATCCATTTATCCGATGGGAATCGCTATCATTCATCCATAAATAGTTCATTGCATTCAAATTTCAAATAACACTCTGAAGAAGAAAAAAAGTGAAATTCCAAAGTATAAAAATTATCTCAAAGCTTGAAATAAGAAAGTGTCTTATATTAATAAAATTATAATTTCAGTGAAACACAAAATGTGCAGTTTGTTTTACGAATTTGATACAGCATCAGAAAAGCGTTAATTTCATTTACAATGATTTCATTTTGTCATTTTCCATAAACATAAGAAATGAATGATCTCCGCATAATTTTATTCAGATAGTGATATCTGATATGATTAATATACTATTACCGAATTCAAGATTACACTTAACCTTTCTATTACAATGATTATCTTGTTGTAAAAAAGATTTTGTCTTAGCATTGCGTATATTGCGTCTTTGATAAGAAGTTCAGGAATCTGGAAATTATCTGAAATGGTAAGTGTGTTAAAAGAATGATTTAATAATCTGTTCTCATTCGCAAAAAAACGCCACAATATTGATGGTAGATCAATTCACAGCACTTTTTACCACTAATTTCACTATTTAGTTTTTTTTCTTTTTTTGAAATTTTTCCATTTTGATTCTCCCAGTAAACAGTGTACTGCAGTTTGTAAAAGTACCATGCGAACTATCATTGTAGCAAATTGTCAGAGAAAAAAGCCATTAGAATTCTTTGTTTAAGGCATTCTACTAAAAGAGGGGAAAATATATTTCATTAAATAGAAACTTATCAGAATTTTTTTGGTTTTGAAAATTAAACCATATTGCAGGAAATGCTTCTATCTTATAACAGTATCAGAAGACACTATCAGTGTGGCGAAAAAAATTTCATCAGCTACTGTAAATGCAGCGATTATCAGTAGTAAATACCCAACACAGAAATAGATAGAGAAATGTGCGTTGGCACAGGATCCGGTTTATGCCGGTTAAATGAACTAACTTCAGCTCAGCTTGGCTTCACCAGGCAAATGGTACGTTTTCTTTGTATTAAAGAGATCAAGTAATATTGAATGTCTGTGAAAATGGTTAATCTTATATTTTTGTATTTCTGCATTAAATGGGAAGGACGTAGATTATGAATATAAGTTTGTTGATTTATTCGGAGAGAGAACAGCAGATGAAGTTGGCCAGGATCAGAATTTATGTTTCTAATGACATTACAAAATAATCGTGATCCGGTATCCAGGTCATATGTCCCTTAAGAGGAGAAATGTGCAATAGCTTAAGGTAGCATTAAGCAAGTTAGCCCTTAATTTGATAATCAAAGTAATGAAAGGTCATTGGATTTTAGGTTCATCATACGGCTCTACCGCATATTACTCTCTTACTTGCTGCCATATGCTATATTATTGTGGGCAGTTTGTCATTTACAGCATTTTGTTATATTGACGATCACACAGAGATAGACGGCAGCCTGCTGGCTGAGTAAGCATAAATAAACCTTTTGCTTAATTTAAATCAATTCGTCTGACTTTTCTAATTCTTGGCTCTTTCATTCATATATCATGGCAAATGATTAAACTAATAAAATCTCTCAGATTCAGAATCCGTTAAGTTTCGCTATAGGAAGTTGATAAATCGATTTATTATGAATTTCTAAGTTTATGTTTTTGATACAATTTGGTTGGATATAAGAAGATACAGTATGTAAATTATAGTTTTCAGAATTAAAATATATATACAATTCTAAGGTTTGATAGATTTCAGAATGAAAGAAAATTTAATTGCTGAAACAATTCGACCACGTCCAATGAGCGAGCGAAAAGCAAACTTGGAAAAGTCGATGGATAATTATGCTTCTAAACTTCACAAAATATTTCAAAAATACATCCGCCAATCATTTATGAGAAAACCAACAATAGTGTCGTTTTTTTTTTTTTTTTTTCGAAGATCGTGCATGCACATATAAAAAGATATGAAAGTATAGCGATATATTCAATACACTCAAACTTATTGCAGATTCAGGACATGTTATAGACCTTCTAGAAATGAAATTTGAATTAATTTGAAGTTTAATATATTTGACGTCATAACTGAAAGTCATTCAATAGTAGTAACGTGTACTTTTCATTTATTTTGTTTTAAAGATAGAAAGATTACATGAAAAGGAGCATGTAACTTCGAAATTAATGTGGAATTTGTTCTTTGCAGCAACAGCTCTGACATCCATAGGTATGTTTTTCTTAATATACCATATTTTATAAATATTTTAAACTAATCTTATGAGTGTTTTTTAAAAAATTTAAAATTGAAGAATTCGAATTTACTTTTGAGATATGTCGAGTAAGAAATAAAAAGACTTATTTCGGAGTCCATTATTTTCTCAAACATAATGGTTATTTTTAGGGTATGGCAGCAATGTTTCGGACTCACATTTTGCCCGTTTGTTTATCATTGTCTATTTGTTTATTGGTATTCCGTTGTTTCTCATTACACTTACTGACTTAGTAAGTATCTCTTTGCTTAAGTATGAATTAAAGTAGGATGTGATTTTTCGTTTTAGTTAAACATGATTAGTTAAGATGTAATATTTTTTGCTATTCTGGTCATCGTTAACCATCAGAAGTTGTTAAGAAACAAAGATTAAATTGTCAAAAACTAAATATGTTAATTGCAGAGAAGATCCGAGATATTAGTCGATTACTTTCAGGCCAAATTTTTTACTGAATTTATCAATCGGTCATATGCAGAAGTGCTGAAGTATAAAGTTATTACAAGTCGTAAACTTAAAAGTCGTTTCGAAGTGCCAGTCGATGAAATTATTGTTTCCGGTGGCGAAGATGAAGTATCTTAAGATAAAAAGCAGTCCTCTTAGTTTAGACAATTATATTTCGGGAAAAATGTCAGACAACATAATGCTAATTAGTTATGAAACAATTTTTTTTTTCATCATTTACTATAACACAATACAATACTCTGAAAATTTCACTGATATAAAATCGATATTTCTTTACAGGTAGCAGAATTTTTATGGGCTCATCTGGAAAATGCGCATTTTGTCGAAGTACCTTTCGTTGTAATTTATATTTTATTATTTGCATATGTGATCGCTGCAAGTTACCTCATTTCATGGATCGAAGGGTGGAACATTTATGATGGTCTTTATTTTATTATAGTCTCCATGCTTACCATTGGTTTCGGAGGTATCACATCTTGCTTCAGGTTGAAAAGGACTTAGCACATTGTTAAGTAGAGATTTTGATTTAAATCATTTTATCTTCACACAATGAATGTGCATATTAATTCGATCAACTGATTAACGGGCTGACTTCAACTATTTCATTGAAATCAAAATTTGAAGATCAACAAATCGAATTTCTTGTAAATATTGCAAACTATTTCAGATTTAGTACCTCGAAACCAGTCATTCATATTGCTCACATTATTGATTGTTTTATTTGGATTGATCCTAGCTACATCATTTATTGATGTAGTGGGCACCTATTACATAGATCGATTACATTTCTTTGGACGTAATTTTGACCTTGAGGTATCTCTCTTTCTCCTAGTCTATTTTTTTATGATACAGTTTTGCTTTACAGATGTCTAAGATTAAATTTCGAGTATTCTATATCATTAAGACAGTATAGACTCCTTTATACATGAAGTTTAATAAAATGCTAACATATAAATTAATAGCATGATTCGCTTGAATGGCTCAAAAAAGTGAAACAACAACGTCTGATCGCAATGAAACGTGAAGCGATGCGTAAATTATTCGAAACCGTCGCTGCTCTACAACATATGGAAATCGGTAAAAATTTTTCGAGAGAGTTACCTGAAATTTGTTATTAAAGACTAACGCTACTATTACTTTCCATTCCAATATGTTTTGATGAAAATGTTTCAATGAAAAAGGAAAAAAAGAGATTGCTACTTTTACGTATGTTGTGACCTACAAATTGCATTCATTTGCATTTGGAATTACTTTCATTGCTATTGCAGTAATATTAATAAAAGAAATATTTGTAGATTTCCGTTTACAACAAAATCGAACCGATATGAGGAACGCTTTGCTGATGAGTATGTTCTGATAAATTTACTGATATTAGATTAAACTCTTTAACTGGTAGTAAAACAGTGAACCAATTAAAATGGTTAAATTGGTGTAACACCACATTTTTGAGAAAGCTTTGTTAAAAGCTTACAATTCCTTACTAGCTTACTTTTTAGTTAAATTTGTTTAGTTTGATCAATGAAGTGATAAGATGGAAGAGATGATATGAATATTTGCAAATGAATGCATCTTATTCCAGCAGATTGAGTTTGATGGAGTTTGGCTAATAATTTGCTTCTTGCCTTTATTCTTCAACTACTTTACATTATTTTAGGTCCTCCTTATCCTCCACGAAATTTAAGAGCAATTGACTCAACAGCAGATTCTGTAGTGCTTACATGGGACCCTCCAACACATAATCACGAAGGAAAATGTTTCTGGTATACGATTGCTTATCAAATAAGGTTAATATTCATTCTCCTTATTTGTCTTAATAACTATTGCAATTTTACTTATTCTATTTCGGTACCACTCAATGCTCTGTTATTATTTGTATTTTGAAAATGATTTATTATTTGATCAATTTAGAACACCTCGAACTCGAAATAGTCCAGCAACAGTAATTGAATTTATCAGCGACGAACACTATGTTGTTACTGGTTTACGTTCCTTCACCCTCTATGTATTTTCGGTTGCGACAACAACTACATTCGGAAGCAGCAAACCGATCAGATGCTATGAATATACTGGTGCATTTCAGAATTTTTTTTTCTTACCTTTCTTTATGTTTAATTCAAAACTATTTACAATATCTATTAACTGTTACAGAAAAATTGAGTGGCTTATATTTGTTTAGTACCATTGCATTGTATAATTTAAAAGATATTATGAAAATCATCAATCTACTTATTTGTCTATCTTAATTTCTAAAAGTTGATTTAAAAAAGAATTACTTCAAAGTTTTTAGAACCGTGCACCGTTCCACAGTCTCTATCACTGGAAGCATTAAGCTGTGAAACGGCGACATTTGTTTGGGACGCCCCACATAAAAATATTGCTCCTGAAGTAAGATTGTTAATTATAAATTTTAGTTTTTATTATTCAAAGCGACATTAATTCAATTCTTCAAGATATTTCGCTCATCTTTTAGCGATCCATAAATTTCTTTTTCTAATGATAGCTATAAAAAAAGGAAAATGAACATTGTGAATCCAAACTAAAAATTACTTTGACTTATTTCCTAAGGATTTACAACTGACTTAATGAGCAAATGCTCATTAAAATATTTCTCGAAAATTGGGTCAAATTTGCTCATTAGAGTTATTTTCTTCGTCCTTTAATTAACATAAAATAGATGCGTAAGCACCGACTGATACATAGAACATGAATAGTCAAATTATGTTTATTTTGTCGTAACAAATTCATTTAGAGTTACGTACTTCTCCTCAGCCAAGATCCGGCACCACAATTTCCTTCTTGGCAGTCTTATGACTGTGGCAACAACAAATGCTTTACAGTAACCGAACTTTTACCAAATACCAGATAAGCTCAATAATTTACTTTATGCTTATATAATAATTAAAATGCGAGCAAGAATTTTATGAATGAAACAAGTGAATTGAATGTGATCAATTTCTACAATGATATGAAAAAAATTTAGGAAGTAGTGAAAAATGCTATATTACAAAATGCTCCTAAGTTTTAACAACACTAAATATAGTATCCTGACGGTGAAATTATCATTGCGATCATAATTAACTGTTTTTTGTTTTTGGATCCTTTACTGTTTTTTGGATCAAAAAATTTGAATATTAATTATTATGTAAAATAGTGTTGGAAAATTGAAATAAAGAAAGTCGTGAAAATTCTAATAATTATATCATTTGTTCAATTTGTAGTTTTTCCTTTTTAGGTACATAGTATGTGTTACAGCTCGACATAATTCTGGTTTAGCAACGATGTCGAAAAGTTTACGATTTAGAACGAAGAAGCATTAATTTAGCGAAGAGGCATTGCCAGTTATAAGCAATCCAAGAATTTTAGGAAAACCAATTTTGATATTCCACCTCATTCATAAATCTGAAAAATCTCTTAAATTGGGTATTTGCATATAACTTGCTATCTATCTTACTAGTACTTTTTCAAAAATTGAAGTCCTTTCTACTATGAAGTTCAAGTGTTTGGCTTAGAAATTATTATCCTTATTTTATTCCTAATGTAATAATCTATCAATCATTAACTTTGCTTTAAGATAATCAAAAACCCTGTTTTAAAATTTTTTGTGATGCCTTTCATTTCTTGGCCCATTTTCTTATCTCTGTGCTTTATTCTCAGGTAAATACATCCACTAGCTATGCTTGCTATTTGATCAATTATTTAGATTGAATGTGTTATCTCAATGTACCACTGGGCCAGCGCGATTAGTATACAACAAGGGATTAGTATCATTTAAACAATTTATGATATTACAAAAACAAAAAAAAAAGTTTGTTTCCTAAATTTCAAACTTTTTGACACATTTCCAATGATATTCTATTTTGCACCGATCATGAAAATTTTGTTTTGATTACTCTCAAACAGTATAATGAATATTTTTTGTGTCTATCTGACTCACCGAGAATGCAACTGCGCATACTTTGCAAAATACTTTTGCTAATTTGAATATCTAATATGGATATAAAGATTTTAATATAATATATGCTTAATTTGCAACTAATTTAGTGATGATTTTACATAAATTTAATGCCGCTTGCACTGATGCAATACTCTGCGCAAAAGTTGCAAAATCATTTTTATGCACTTGTTTATGATCAGGTCTTTGCTAAAGGCATTCCAGCTTCATGATAGCTATTCAACTGGCCTATAAACACATTCAAAAGACCAGAGTTGCAGGAATTTAACTTATGAGAACCACATATTTGGCTGAATATCTTATGACTTTATTTCAATAAATTCAAAACTATTGCATTGAATGTTTAAGTGACTTGTAATTTCGCATGACTAAATTGAAAATAAAGTTGAACGAGTGATTCTTGAAATTAAATTTCTTCAAAAATATTCGGCTATTTTCTACATTGTTGGTATTTGGCATCTTTTAACGACATCATCGGTTGGAACGGCATGTCCACAAGACATATCAGAATCTGAAAATGAATCTGAATAATCCTTCAACATTTCTAGTGGCATATGTCTGCAAGAGGATTACGGTATTTGCATGAGAAATCAGGAGCAGATGAATGCTATTTAGCGATCTTCATCACCTCCGGCATCTCGATTTATCTCGTTATCGGTGATTATGCTCGATTTGTTGCCAATGCAATCCTTACTGCGGTACCGATCCTGCTCACCTATGTTTATCCGGAAGAGAAGCCACCGTTTGATAATCTTTTATGTTATTGGTGAGCAGACAATCGATGATATCAGTATACAATTCATACTTGATTCAATCGATAAAGGCGGCACTTCCTTTGTAGCCTTTGGTTCTCTGAACTTAAGATATTCAAATGATTAAGAAATAAAACAACTTATTGTTTCCTTGGCGTTATCCTGAGAATTCCGTTTAATTAATATCTCTTCGTTATCTCTTCACCTTTGCAAAATTTGTGTTTTATGGATCCATTTTTAATTTTCTTGTAGTTTAAAGTTGTATTTTATTTCTCAGATACTTGTTGTTTTTTAAGTTTTTCGTTGAGAAAATAAATAAATACATTTATGTTTAGGTCTATATACGTTATTGCAACATTGTTTTTGGATCCGAAATTAGAAGACAAAGGAAGTTATTATTGGATGAAAATGCTTATGCTAGTACTACTAATAAAATTTCCCAGAAAAGCTGAAAATATTGAATTAAAGCAAGGTGTTAGTACTTATATACTGGGCTAATATCTTTTGTGGCTTTTGTGGCCTGCATCTTGCAGAATTTCAAATTCAGGGCGACAATGTCCTTTGCTTTCAGCCGATAGTTTGGTACAGCATTTACTTCATTCCTGTATTAAGTTCATTTGATTTTATAGCAATACTTGGTTAGAACATTAGTCATCCAATGAATATTTAGTTTTCTACTTATATTTAAAGTAGAAAGCTAAATATAAATTTGTGTGCAATCTGGTAGTTGTAAATTTAATTATTTTTAAGAATTTCGTTTTAGAAAAATGTAGACAATCATCAGGAAGAAATAACGGCTGCCAAAAATAATACTTTAAGTGAAAAAGATATATCTGATCAACGATCTTCAGGTAAAGAACTCCAGTTTTCACCTGCTAAGCATCCTGTGAAAATATGAAGTTATTTGTTAACATAATCTCGAACTGCTAAGAAATCTCAAGTTGATACGGTGACTCCAATTAATCCCTCCACCTTACTGACGAAAAACGAAATCATTTCCACTACCAAAATTAAAAAAGAAAAGAAAAAAAGAAAAAACATTTTGTAGAAAAATCTTTGCTTGCAGCAACTCAAAAGAATCAAATTTCAGAACGAGTTCCTTCGCTTGTTCCACAGCTGGATTCGAGAACGGAAAATTCCATTTATACTGATGATGGACTTCAAACTACTCCAATAAGGGAATCTTTGATTGTTCCTGAAAGCAAACCAAATGTTTTTATAAAAGAATCTCCAACTATTTTACTTCAGAAATCCAACTTAAATATAGAGAAGCATTGTCAAATCAGTCAACCACCGAGAAAATCGCAACTATTTCAAGGAGGGAAATTTCTAAATACTTCTATTTTGAAGCCTGAAATTATCTCTGGACAAGAGCTTCCGACTGCTTCTGAAACGAAATCTCAGGTGTTACTTTCAAATAAACTAATGATGACTTATGAAGAGATATCTCAAGTTACACCAATGAAAAGTTTTCAGTTTGCTTCTATAGGACAAGATATGACAAGTTTTGGGAAGGAACCACAAACATTTTGTGCAAGGAAGCTTGAATCCAGTTGTTCTAAAGAACAAAATATAAGTATGCAAAAACTGTGCAAGAAAGACAAAATGAATCTCAGAATACTGTCATCCGGAAAACTGAGCATCCTTCATTGAGAAAACCTAAAACTACATATTTTAAGATTATTCATAACAAAAAAAAAACTGGGGAATTGCCAACTATTTTGGCGACTGAATTTTCGACAGTTCCTGTAAAACGGAATCAAATCATTCCATTGAAAGAATCTAAGAGCTTTACGATAAGAGAATATAAGATAAGTTCTGGCTCGGATAAAAAAATTCATACTGTCTGTGTCAAGGATTCAGAGCGGTTGGAAATTCCTACTGGAAGGAAATTTAAGGTTAGTCTAAATTTGAATAAAAAGGTTGAAATTCTTTTGTTAAAGATAAACCACTGTCGAGAGAAAAGTTAAGGTCATTTACCGAGAAAATTTTGCAAATGGATCTCAAATTACTTCACTGCTCAATTTATAATCAATGCGAATAAAGGGAAAGAAATTCCTTTAATGTGAAATCTCAATTTGTTCTTTTGCAGGAACATCAGAATATTTCTATGAGAAAGCCTCAAAATGTCACCACAAACGAAGTTCCACTTACACCTTTGACAATTTCCACACCTGTTTCTATTAAGCATTCTCAAAATATCTCAAGTAAAGAGACTAAGAAACCTCAATTTGTTTCAGAACATGATTTAAGGACAATTTCTGTGGTAGAATCGCACATCCTTCCTGCAGGCAAATCAAAAGTTCCCGATGCCTCTGCAAAGTTTATTAAGATTTCTGAAAAAGAACATCAAATCTTGCATAACAACAAAGCTGTTTCAATATCTGAGACTGAAACGATGGTGCAAAAACCTTCTCCCGCGAAGTCTCAACTTTCTTCTTGGAAAAAGTCTGATGCAGTAACAGAAGCAAAAACCCAAATTAATCATACAAAAAAAATAATTAATACTAATAAGAAGCAATCTCTGCTCACTTCCAGTGCAAGTATTAGTCTCGAAAGAAATGAGGATTCTGAAAAGGAAATTTCTCAAAATACTGCTGAGGCAAAAAAGTTAGCCAGTGTCATCAGGTGGGTTGCAACTGGGAAAACTGTCGTCATAATAAAAAATATGCAAACTGGAGAGGTTAGTCTGCTTTAGATTTCCAATTGGATTCAAATTTTATAGGAATTATGTTTGCAAGTCAGGGAGTTTCAACAAAGTAGAAATTGGGACTCACTACAGTGTTAAAAGCAGATTGAGAGAATCGAGATGAATTTTGAGACTTGAAATGGAATTTGAATTCAGAGTATCAGACTATTAGACTTACAAAATAGGCTCAATTAAGACGAACTGAATGAGACTAAACTTTCGATAAATCTGGCCTTAATAATCTATTGGTATTACCGATTTAAAAGGTTGATGGTGCAGAAGTATGCAAGAAAAATTGTGCTTAGTGCAAGCGATTTGACTGCTTTTCTTATTAGTGTCATGATTAAAGTTATAGCTAGCAAACTGCAATGAGAGCTTAAAACCGAGCCTAGCAAACATTTATCTGTTTCAGCCCAACAAATCACAATGAGACAATTAGAAGACAGTTGTTTTATGCTTCATGTTATATATTTGTATGTTAAATTAATTATTCTGATTTCATTTGAAATGAAAGCATCTGAAATGATAGCCTATCATCGATCCCTTTTTATCAGCAGAAAAAAGCTTGTCATCGTATGCTGGAAATGTTTATGTTTTAAAAGGATACCAAAACGTCAAAAACATTTCTCTTTATTCATTATCATGCAACTTCAACTAATAACGATTTTTTCATTCTGATGTAACTGCTATCTATTCAATATATTCTGGAATTTAATGTTTTAAAATTAAATTTTGCGCGTTCTTCTTTAAAACCAAGTGATACAGAAATTTAAGTCAAAATTTCACGACATTTTGGAAGCACAAAATGTGGCAGATGAAATAACTGTCACATTAAAAGGAGCTACTTTATTAAAAAAAAATCGATAATTACGAAATTATATTTAGTTGTATGCAACCCTCCAATGATATGAAAGACTTAAAAATAGGATGAAGCGTTTTTTATCTCATTGTCACTTTTGTTTACTCAGATGACGGATGCACATGACACAGACGAATTACACAATCATTTACGATCACTTGTTTTTGATCAGGTTACGATTGATTATCGATCAAATCAAAATGCATTGATTAAGTCAAGTATTGTCGGCTTATATAATATGCGAATGTTTATATGCTGCTTAGCTAATTTAGAGCCATCCTCTCTGATGTTAACTGAGGGTAAAATAACTATAATAATCAGCGTGACTGTGAATTTTGAACATAAAGTGCCATTTCATTTATGTTGCAATTCATAGATTAAAAAACTCAAAATTATAAATATAAAAGTAAAATTTTGGAAATTTTGCATACCTAATTAAAGTTTCAGAAACATATGACAGGTCGAGGATTACGACTTTTACGTGAACAAACGGGTTTGGACGAGTTCAGTTTGGCAATTTTCATTTGTGTCATCACATCCGTATATTTAATGATAGGAGAAGATGCTCAAATGTTGGCAAATGCTATCCTTACGGTGACGCCAATCTTACTTACTTACGTTTTTCCAGCCGAAAAACCGCCTACACCGCAACTTCTTATATACTGGTACAATCAATTAATTATCTGTTGTTCAATGTTTCGTCTTACAAGATCGAAGTTTTGAAAGTTCTTGAGAAAGACTGAAGAAATGCCATACATAGCTCTCAGTACTGATCGTCCTCTTCATGTATTCCCTATTCGCCAATATTTTAAATATAATTGATTAATCAAATCAGATTAAATCCTTATCATCATGCATTAGTCGAGATTTGATTATATTAAACAATAAGTTATGTAACAGTCTGTTACTGTAAAAATTTTTAAATGAATATTAAAACAATTTCCTTCTCATCAATTAAAAGTCCAACTTATTTTTTAGTTGTCTAACGTGATGAAAAAGTTTGCAGGAGTGCATTTGGCCTATTAACCTTATTAGATTCTAATTTTGAATCAGAAAGTGGTTACTACTTTATCAAAGTAGTTCTGCTTGCACTTCTTTTTTTGCATCCATTCGATGGCGCTGATCGAATTCTTTGGCACATTCGACTAGCTCATAGCGATGAAGTTAAAGATGAGGTTTGACATTTGACACTTACTTTAAAAAATTGCTTTCAACCTCACATTTTATTCTACAATTTTTTTTTTCTAAAACTCTGTTTTCAGTTATATTTTATTTAGTGCTTAATTGGGATTATTTGACATCACATTTGGAACATTTTTATTGCTTATTCGGCAATGTTTAGGCAAGAATACTTCCATAATTCCCAGTTACTCTGAGATATGATTTTTTCCCCACTCGATTGTTTGCTTTTTCCTTATATTTCTACGTGCGAAAAGACTGCATACATAAAATTAAAGAAAAAACAAATTGAAATGTTACTAAATTTTCAAAAAACCAAAATTTACAGCGAGGTATAATTCCATTTACCAAAGAAGAATTATCGGAAATGTTGCACAGAAGTAAGGATAGACGATCATTACCACCCGGAACACCCGAAGTAACTTTTATAAAACTTGTGTTAGAGGACCATAACATAAAAAATTTAATTATAAGGAATCGCTTCATTTCAATGCTGAATCGTTTCATTTCAGTTATAAATGCATTGTATTTCTATCACAAAAGATCCTTATGATAGATATTTGATGTTAAAAGTAGAGCATAGGTCGATTTAAGCATTTAAATACAAACAAGCTGAAACATGTCATAATCTACTAAAAGAGACAAGTAACCTATGATTTTTCAACTAATAAATCAGTCAGCTGTTTGGCTAAATTATTAAAAAATTTCTGTTTATAATGTTTTTACAACTGTCCGAAAATTATAACTATGCATAATAATCTGTTGTTAGGTCTAAACTTATATGCCTTTTCAGACGATGAAATTAAACAGTGCATCATCTTATGCGCTACGGAGTGATTACTCTTCATCGTATGATAGCGGTATTATAATTATGTGTTCTCTTTTTTTTGAATTTGATCAGTATTCTTTGAAAACATAATTATTACTACAGAGAAAATTCTATACATTGCAAGCATAGATTCTATGTTTCTTGCAATAACTATGGATTCAGAAAAATAGAAATAAAAGCCAAAGGTAAGAAATTGAAACTCAACTCGGGAGCTAATTTTTTCAGTTCCAGAAGACAAGAATCCAATGTTATTTAACACCGAGTTCAGAATCCAAGATCAAGAGGGCACAAGTGCGGAGGGTTTAAGCATAAATTACAGCCCACATGATTTAGCATTTGAACCATCAAAATATTTGGTTGGCTTAAATCAATTTCAGTAAATAATTTCCTATCATTTTTAATTTCAGTTCGGAAACCAATTATCAAGAAACAACTGGGAAATGCTTTAAACGATTTTAAGCTTTATAAATCAAAAAAAGTGATATCCTCCTTAACGCCATAAATCATTTTCAGATTTTTAATGCTCCTTATGATTTCGATAATTTAACATATCTTATACGTATACGTAATACGTCAACGAAACATATTGCATATGCTATTAAAAGCAATGCTATACCCCGCGTTTTTGCAACGCCACCATGCGGAATTTTACCACCGAAACAAAAATGCGATATTGCAGTTACCGTTAAGGTGATGACATCAATATAACACGATTTTAGTCAAAACTTCAAGCATACAATGAAACAGTTAATCAATAAATCTATTCCGTGATATTATATCTCTATTTAAATGCTAGCTGATAACAATATTTCCAAAATAAGAAATGTTTATGGATTCACGATTTCTATTTTTTACAGAAGATGGATAAATTTGTCGAACAATTAGTTCAAAATGACCGACTCGCATTTGACTATGTATTTTGTTCACCTGAAACAAAGCAATTTAAATTCAAATTATTACAGGTTTATTTTACGTTTATTTTACTTGTGAGATATCATAATGACTTTTGAGTTTGTTGAAGGAAGGTGATATTCTGAAATGGAACTTGCACCAAAAAGATTTGAATATTCCTTAAAATTTCGCCGTGTTACAAATAATTTAGTGCTATTTATTTCAGAGTGAGATGCGACGAAGGAAGAACATTTACATAAAATATAACCCATAACTGCCAAAAAACTAAAAAATTAAAACAAACATTAAACATTGTTCTATAAAGCAAACTTTCCAATTATAACAATTAGAAACATGTATTCCGATATAAGCTGCTTCATCAATTGTTCATTTTGAATCAAAATTTCATTAGCACCGCAATTTCGAGAATTAACCACATCCAAAAACTCGATGAGAGAAACTTAAATTTAAACAACCAATAAGAAATTAAAACTATTACATTTTACAACAGCTATTACAAACTTCTTCCAAGGTCCTCATATAAGAAAATACATTAGGAAATTGTTAGCAGTAATCAAGTACAACTTCTAGGAACTTTTAAACCGTATCCGGGAGCAACTTTTAGATTCTTTCTCGTTGGAGTGACTTAAATCAATACTGACTTCATTTTGTAGGAAATTTATAGACTGAAAAACAATTACAAAGAAACAATTGTGTTATTGTACAACCAAACCTATTTACACTCGCAATATTTCTAGCATGTTTTTATAACAAATTGATATCCAGTCTGGAAAGGCAGTCGACCAGTGCACCTGATTAATCTGAAATTTTTTGACTTTTTAAACATCTAAAAAAAATGCTTTAAAAAATACAATAAAAACATATACAATAATTCGAGTATGATCTGTGGAAAATCTTTTTTTAAAAAGTATTTTTTACAAAGAAAATATTTTCATTCTTCCTTATTACGGTTGAGGAAAATATGGCTTGCAGACTATGTTCTTTTGGGAGGTTTTCATGAATGATATATAGAATGTCTAGAAAGCTATTAAATAATGCACGCGCTACTTTCTTGTTATCCCCCATATGTATTGTCAATTTGATTTTATGAACCACGTGTTTTACCTCGCCGTTAGCTTGATAAGCCAAAATAGGATCGTCAACAGGTCGAGGCATCGTATGAATATCCCAAATTAATGCCTGACTGTCACCACCTAAATGAAAGTTAACGGAAAAAGCAAATAAGTTACAAACATAAGAATGAATGAATAAGTTTCAGTTAAGATAGGGATTTCAAATTCAAACTTTAAATTCCTAACAGAATTGGTAATATAACTTACCTGCTGTACAAATATGACATGAAGAATGCGGTGCCCAGGCCATGCCATTTACGCGTCCCCGATGATTATCCAATTTTGCGACAGGTGTGCAAGGAATACGTACATCAAGAATTATCACCTCAAAAGAAGCTAACTTAACTAAATATATAATCGCTTAACTTAATACATTTTTCCATGCTACAGTTGTTTGTTCTTTACTGCTTTGATGTCATTGAAAAATATTCCCCCTCCTCCTTCCTCCTGTCCCCAATGCATTTGTGCATGTGAGAACAAATTAATTAAATACACTGTGAATAGAATTAAAAAGATGAAATTAAAAAAAATTAAATAAAAAATATTATTAACTATATAATTATAACAAAATTGCTTACAAAAAATGTATATCAGAAAGGAATAAAACAAACTTCTGTAGAATCTTGAACAAATGTAGCTATATAATTGCAATCTTGCTTATTACATTCCAAGCGTAACAAAGGAGCATGTGATGGTTCCTCAAACATAATTGTTGAGTGCTCAAGATGGCGCAAATCAAACATTCTTAGGCTTCCATCGGCTCCTGAAAAACTAATAATATTGAATGCAGGTAACTGATTTATCTTCATTTAATGTTCGGTGCATACATGTTAACACTGGGAACCTGTAGCCGAAGAGGTGTTTAACTGTACATATCCCACCAGAAATTTGCTACTCCCTTATCCTACTACAAAAACTGCGGGCAGCGAAGAAATTGCAAGCATCAAAATATCTAAACGAAAGAAAAAACATGCCAACACTAGCAAATATTTCGCGACCGCTCGCCATTCTTGTAAAAGCAATATCAAATACTTCCTTATCATGAGCGATCAGCTGTGTCTTTACGGTACCTTCCGTTGATCGTGCAACACTGATTGCCTGACCGGTCTAAAAGGCAGCAACTCACAACTCCCACTATCTTCGTATTCTATGCTTCATTATTTTTAATCAGAGCTGGAGTTCAAGTTCAAACTCGTAAAAAAACAAAGCCGTATTTCAAGTTTAAATTCGTAGAAATCAACCTCGACTTGCCAAATGGTGCACGTCGTATCGATACTTGAAGTACCAATCAAGCCAACATCTACGTCATTCCAATCAAATGACGTCAATGGAGCACAGTATTCACTGCTGCGATTCTGAAATGAAATGGCAAACATTTATTTTAATTTCTGAACAAACAACGAAAAGTTTATTTTCATCTTTAAATGTTAATCGACTAACTCATTTTTTAAAACCTAAAATTCATTTATGATTTCAGTAAGTTCCTGATGCGTATTTAAAAACTTTTTCATATATCCGGAATATGAAGGACATCTGGTAAAGATTTCATGGTTCCTCTTAAAGCAAAAGACAAAAATTAAGATCATTTTTCTATCTGATAAATTTCTTTATAGGAATTCTGTTGTGCTTTACAACTTCCTATTTCATCCAAATACCACAAAAAATCAATAATAATCCATATCTTGAACTGGTTGTCAATAACAACAAGATTAGAAAATGCAAGTGTTTAAACAAACGCACGTTATTAAGAAAAACTTCAATCTGTGCTCCATCAGCACCACCTACGCGCCATAGACGTAAATAATCTCCTGTTGTAGCAATCAAGTCTGGATATATACCTTTCTAGAAATTACATACATATACTTTTTTTTTCTAGGTTAAATCGCATTCTATTAAAACTGAAAAAAAATCACTGAAATCAGGTGTGCATCACTAATTCCTAATTATCACTATTTAAATTGACAGTAAATCCTTCCTGGCACATATAAAAAAAGCCGAAAAAACGAATTCTATCCTTTACTGAAATGCTTAAAAACAAACCTGGTCTGGAATCCACATGACCTTTGTAGCTGGATATGGATGGTCGAAGCTGCCATAGTCGACAAATTCACCAATGTCTTCATCAAGCTTCACTATTGAAATCTATAACTGATCAATCTCCAAAGCTCCATTTATTTTTTGATATCCCTAATGAGAGGAAGAGATTAATGTACCGGGAGATAGTAAGAAAGAAGATCAACATAAGCAATATCTCTGCGGTTGATTTTGTTACAATTACGCCGTAAACTAAAGTAGGTTACTGATTCCATTTAACGTTATATTGTAACTGAACCTATCTCTTGTCTTCAATATCGTGATGTTGCATAAAAATGTGCTTTCAACCAACTTCATTTATTTTGATTTTATCATGTCAAAATATATTGCAACACCGCAATATTGATATAAACAAACGACCAAGATGCTTAGACCAACCGGTTTAATACAATGTATGTAGCCCTCATACTTAGAAACCTCTTTGTACTCGGAATTCGACTCTATTACTGAACCAAAATACCCAAGCCTAAATCAGTGAATATAGAAACAAATATTCTTGATAGATAAAAGTTAAAAAACCTTATTATTGTATTCCTCGATGAAGCTAGCTAATGCCAAGCGAAACTTCTTTGCTGGATCAGGATGCTGAGACCAACCAGTAGAGTACAGTGTATGCGGTGCCTCGTATTTGTAAACCTCCTTATATTTGGAATTCGAATTTGATACTCCATCTACAAGTGGTAAATGTGACAACAAAAATACTACTACGGCCTACGCAAACATTTTAGTTATCATAGAATATTAAAAGTTGTGCAGTTATTAATAAATGCACATACATATTTACCTTAACAGTAGTGTTAACGTAAATGATGTCAACGGTAAATTATAAAATATCACCAAATACGCCAGGTTGGAAGTTAGGAAGCCAGCTTACTAGATTGACTGGATCCCACTTGAGTAATCTCATTGCCCATAAGTTGTTGCATAACGTGAGATAAATGTTGTGTTATTGCCATCAACTTAACACCCAAACCCCAACAATCCCTATTTACTGCTATCCTGCAATACAAGGAACAGCATAAGAAATTTAAAATTCGGAAATGACAGAACTGAAACAGCGAATTTTAAATAAGATTACTGCAAATATTTCACATTCACGGGGACAAATTTAAAACCCTGAAGTGTTATGCGTTCAGAAACATTAATGGATATGTCATAATGAAGGCAAACAAATTATGATTTTTGCTACTAATCTTGCAGTATATGCTAAAAAAGAAATGATGACTTTATCTATTCTCCCGCATCGTATAGCAATTATAAATATACTGTGATTTAAATAATATGTAAAAGATTTATATTTAGCATATCAGAATAACATGTCTAAAGTATAACTTTATCAATTATTGAAAATTGTATATAAAGCAAAATTTCAACGATAATAACTTTAATATTGCCTTCATTCACCAGTATTAAAGATATTGTAAAGGTAACTGAAACAGCAATTACAATGATCCGATAACAGCTAAAAATTAAAAAAATACAAACAAACAAATCTGAAACATACGAATAATTATCAAGAAATACAAAATTACTTGTCACTTTAGCAAAAACATCCTTTTTTCTAATAGATATTCTCCTAAGACTTAAAAAATGGAGAACCCATTAAAAGCAAACGAAGAAAAAGGCACCCGGTAAGGATAAATTCCAGAAATGAAACTGAGTAAGAATGTTACAGACTCGATCATCACGTGGTTAAAATATCTGTGAGAAAAAAATACTAATATTTTACAGAAAGCCTATCACAGTGATCACGAAAACTTAAGTAACTTAAAAATTAATGTATATTTCATAATCAAGGTTTCAAACTCGGAGAATTTCCAAACATTTTCCAAAACAAATACAAATCCAGTCTATCTGAGAAGCTGACCAATGCACTTGATTTACCTGAAAAAAGCGTTTTAGATGCTCAAGGAACTCCCCATATGATGCTGGCTATTGCCACAAAATCCAGAAGGCTATTGTTACGAAATTACATATTAATCAAGAATAGAGCACCGCTAATTTCGCAAATTATCTGAAATAAATTAATGGGGCCATCGAAACATAGTACTTCCCAAACGAATTCATATTATGGTAATGACACCAAATTTACAAGTCAGTATCACTTATGGATAACAAGCTCTTATCCTTGTTAGAAACTCAACTAGTTAAAAGACTAAAAGTAAAATAAAACAGTGGCAATAAAAATAAGAAGTATCAGAGTGCAGTAAAAGAAGTTAAATTCAATGAGTGCTTTAATATTTATTCATACAATCAAAGCTACCTCTCCTTCAGCTTGATAGGCTAATATTGGATCTTCAACTGGTCTCGGCATTGGTGAAATATCCCAAATCAAAGCTTGACGATCATCTCCTAAGTTAAGCAAAGAAAAAAATCTCTTCATAAATTCGAAGTTAGGATATTAGAGATAGTCAGGTTCAAAACATTCGAAAATTATTCAATCGAGAAATAACAGCGAAACTATCCATATTTCAAGAATATTAACTCAGAGCAAGGTTTAAACATCACCAAATATGAGAATAATGAAGTTTGCATTTGAAAGTTCCAAAAATCACAAATAATGTTTCGATATTACAGTAATTGGAATTAATCCATTTAAAGTCTGGAAATTACCGGCTGTGCATATGTGACATGAAGAATGTGGAGCCCAAGCAATACCGTTTACGCAAGCGCGATGATTATGAAGTCGAGCAAGGGGATTACAAGGCACTCTTATATCCACTATTACTATCTATAAAATATTGTATAACAAACGTCAATCTAAAATATTTTGACACATTCCATAATTGCTAATTTTGGTAAGTTTTAAACGAATAATTAAGCTGGTAGTTTGCAACCCTTGACTTAACTCGAAATTCTTTTTCATAAATTAAAAGCTATAAAATCGGACCCAACATACTTAATAACATCAGTCACCACCTTTCACACAATGATGAAGTGTCAGGAATTCATTCCAGCTAACTTTCTTCAATCGCAAAAAGAAGTCAAATAAATCAGAACAAATTGATCACTGCACCTCGGCAGAATCTTGCGCAAAAGTAGCCAAGTAATGACTCTCTTGTTTGTTCCATGCTAGTCTCATTAATGGTGAACGTAGAGGATCTTCATAAACTATCGTAGAGTGTTGCAAATTTCGTAAATCAAATAATCGAGCACTTCCATCCGCACCTGTTGTAATCTTTTATATAACATTTTTCTCGACCATTAATGTTTAGTTTGGAATTTTTTTTTATAAGTTAAATTTTCCAAATATTTAATTCCCATGACATACATGAATCTAATTTGTTACAGGAATAGTTTCTCTACTATATGCTCTGCACTATTGTAGATACAGACCAGCAATTAGTAGCAATACAACGAAATATGAAATGAATCTTTCACCTTAGAAGATATGATTTTTTTAGTGACAAGGATGAAATTATTTCTGGACAGCATTTAAAAGCACAGTTATGACTTTAACATACCGACAGTAGCGAAATTATCACGCCCACGATTTATTCTCGAAAACTTTATATCATGCACTGGTTTATCGTGAGCTATCAACTGCGTCTTGACACTGCCATTAGTTTTTTTAGTCTGAGCAAGTGCCTGTCCCGTCTGAAAATACCATATTCTACAGAAGGCTTAGGATAAATAAATGATACATTTCTCCATAAACAGAATATATTAACTTTTTCTGCAAAGAAAATCTTGTCTTTCAAAATAGTCATATCAATCTGACCTTCACCAAAATTATCATACGTATAGCCTTAAGGGATCCCATACAAGCGTTAGTTCCAAACATGGAAGTTATGTTAGGATTTTTAATGTGCTCACTTCAAGTTGCCATATGGTGCAACTCATATCAATTGACGAAGTACCAATCAAAGTTGGATCAATATCATTCCAATCGAAATTCGTTAACGGTCCCGAATAATTTGATGCTTGCTTCTGTAATTTCAACGAAAATAGTTTCAAATATTCTGCATTCAGTCACAAATGATTATCATTATACATGCAGTGATATAAGTTCGCTGAAAAAAGATGACAAACATTAATAAAGACTACTCCATACTTAGTTATCGATAAGTAATTCTACGGATGTTAGCATTGGCAAATTATTAGCAAAATCAATTGGATAGAAACACTATCATAGCATACATTATTTAGAATGCATTCCATCATTACAGAATTTGGCTCTACTCGATAAATTTTCAAGCATTCTGCACTGGTTGCCAAAAGATCGGGATAGGAATCCATCTGCAAAAGCATAATATGTAACAATGAGAATTGAAAGTCCTACTTCAATAAGCAGATAGCTTATAAAATCTGCAAGGACATTAAGTTCAAACTAATACAAACCATATCTGGGATCCACTGAATACAGTTAGGAGGAAATGTATGCTCAAATGAAAGCCTTTCCACAAGCTCACCTTGTTGCTCATCCAATTGTATGACTGATACCTATAAATAAATCAGAAATGAAAGTAGCGCAAAATCAAAGCAACAAAAACATCCACATTTATACTAAATTTATAAAGTGAAGAGCAAAAAACAAAACGAATCTATCGAAATAACATAAATTATATGTTATTTACAGAATTAAATTTTTACACAACGAACAATGTGGAACAATTTTATAGCTCAACTTCTAGACTTCTTTTTATAAACAGACACAAGTTCACATTCTGCAAATAGAAAGTATTAGTCCAGTTCCAAAACTAAATATAAGAACGGGAAGCTAAAGGCAGAATCACTGCTCAGGAATTTTTTTTTCAGAAACTGCACTATCTATTACGTTAAACAGGTAAGTTATTCATTTCTGCTGCTACTTTCACCACCTTATACCATCGCAATGTTATCTGCTCAGTTTTTCCTTCGTTTTCCTCATAATTATTATTACAAGTGTATCATAATGAGAATTTTGAAATTTTACTCCGAACATTTTCAATATAAAACAAAGTCTGGAAAGTTGATTCCTTATCTATCTTCTTTACCTCCAAATTTCATCGTTTTTTGGCTCATCTTTGTTCATAATATGATTTAAAGTTAATCCTACTTCTACCACATTGTTTATTTTTATTATGCCTTAATCATGAAGCTTTTCCTAAAACCTTAAGCTTTTAATTTTGTGCATACTTCATTGCTATTGTTATTGCAGAAAATTCCATGCTACAAATAATAAATCAAACAAACCCTATTATTATGAGGTTTATCCTCCACAACACTACCAACCGCAATGCGCCATCGACCCTCTGAATCAGTTTTACTAGACCAACCGGCTGCAAAAAGTGGTCGACTTGAGGTAAAACGATAAATCTGGCGACGCTTCGGTGGAGCAGGAGGAGCTGGAGCTGCAATTGTTGGTGTTGGAGGGGGAGCACTTTCGATACTGCTTGGTCCTGACGGCCGAGATATATTAGTATTTGTTGGTACTGCTGGAAAACGAACAGTGAGATACTTTATGTTATCATATAATAGACATGAAAATTACTTATCTCTTTCCAATCCTTATATTGACTTGAAAGTTACTTTTACCAATAGTGGATTTTATTGATGATACATGCATCTTCAGAATTGTTCAAAAAGTTGTGCATGTGTAGCTAATTCTTTTTTATAAACGACAAGTATAAAAAGATGAGTCTAATAATAGATATGTTCATGATGAGCTAACATGTAGTAGTTGTACTAGCAATTTGATGATTCGTCGTTATTTGTTGCTGCAACATTTGTTGTGTACCAGTAGTAGTGGATGAAAGTGATGAAGAATTCCCTGATGGCGTTGCAACCATTTGTCCAAAACCGTAAAACATGAACACCAACGGTTGTCTACTGAAATTATGCTTCCACAATCAGTCATACATATTGAATAAAAAAATCTACAAATTTTAATTACATACTGTTCACAATATATTTAAAAAAAATCTACAAATTTTAATTACATACTGTTCCATTTCTTTCCATAAGTACAAAAAAGCAAAAAATTCTTCCAGTAGGGGATTTATGAAAGTGTAATTTTTCTCAATTTATTTCTAATTAACATGTTCAGTCTTAATCATCTATTTCATCAACTATAATTGTTTCTATCTTCTTGATTAACAGCTAAAACAATTGAAATCTCAATAATATGACCCTTGACCCAGACAACATGCCTCACCACTTCAGCTCTACCCAAAAATGACACAAATGAAACACCTGACTAATGGAAAGATGTCAAGTGCCATTATTCAAACGCGGCCCGCGACTGGTCGCAACAAAATGCGGTCTTAGTTCTCATCAGTGTGTAGGTTATTGTGACTAGGAGTTCTGGTCAGTTGCATCAAAGCGGCAGGTGGTCAGAGGACTGACTCTCGAAATTGTTAGCAAGTTTAGAGACTTCATCGGGAATTAGTGTACTTGTCCCGGCAAATATCCTCTCGACCTATGCAAAGTTTATTTAAAGCAACTGACAAACTGTGAGCGACAGAAATCACGGAATGTTACCTTTGCACTGCTAATTATTTATTTCACTTTTGCTAATTATTTGCTTCGCACTTTGCAACATTTCGAGTGAAAAGACTCAGATAGGGGCGATTTATCAACACCGTCCTGTCGGACTACGCTGAACTATAAGGTCATCATTGTCTGTTCCAGTTGCGGAGTTGAACCCGATGCTTACTGCTGGCAGTGCACGAGTACCCCACCACACCACGCCATAATAGCCGTCTGCGTAGTCATTGTTTAGGGTATCGGGGAAATTGAAATAAGTCTTGTGATTAGAAAAAAGTATGCAAAAACATTTAAGTGTATCAATAAGTATTAACTATAAAAGATTTGAGAAATCATTCATATTAAGATTTCTGGCAAAAGATATACAGTATCATTTGGACTGGCCAGGCCTAGATCAAGAATGGAAATTGATTGAACTATCAACATCTAAACCTTTCATTCACTTTCTCATCTACTATTTCAAAACCTTATACAATTTTCTTTTTGAAAGTTTTGAAAATTTTCTCAACCGCAAAATTTTGGCGCAATTATTTTCTTTTTAAGAGAAGGTGAGGAATGATATCAAAAATCCTCAAATAATATCCTATAAATCTGGATGCAATGAGATTAAAATCAACTGCTCGAAGGCTCTTAACAAGTTTTTGTATGCCAGTATTGGTTGCTCTGATTTATTGGTTGTCCGAGACTGAATGGATTGAGAAAGGTTTCATTGTCTATTTACTTATTTTTCTATTAGTAAAAAATTTTGAATTATTCAATTACATCAAACAGGTAATCAGTGTAAACATTAAACTTTGATGATTTTATTTCTTTCAGATTTGAATAGCCACACTGAACTTTTAATCTAGTCAACTGCCCGAATGATAGGGCAGTTTTAATGGTATTAATCTTTCGTTTGTTTTTATTGTGACATTTTTTTTTTTTTTTTCATTTATTAGTTTTGGCAGTTTCACATATTTCTTATGGTACAGTCATCATAAAACATACTTTTTACAAAAAAAGAAAAATTATTTCCTCCTACGTGAAATAATAGATTCCCAGCTGAATAAATTAATGTTTTGGATTTTAACAACTATGAGGAACATTGGAAACCATCGAAACTTTAATGAATAAAATTTTTTCAAAATCCAATTTGCATAATTTCAATTATTATAATTATCATTAGGGATTCCTTGATTGAGGTAGTATGCATTCCGGTTTTGACTACAGCAGTTATGCAGATGCAAGGACGACGAAGAGATCCCCTTCAAGAAGCTGAGAATACCGATTGCCAGATGAATTTGTTCAATCTGTTCCTTGAGCTAACACTGAATTAAACTAAAAAACTAGACTGTCATGAAAAGCAAAAAGTGAATCTATTTCTTATAATGTGATATCTAATCAGTTGTAGTAAGGAACACAGGAAAATTTTATTGCTAAACAAACAATGCAAAAAAAAAAAAAAAAAAAAAAAAGCAGGTAAGAAAAATAAAGAAAAAAAAAGCGGCCCAATGAGAACGGATATAAATAAATAAATATGCAAGTAAGGAAACATGTCTATTTGCTTACGGTTATGGCACTTAATACCTTAATTATTGCTCAGGTATGAATTAGTATTACATAAATGACAAACTATTATTAACAAGCTGAAGTTATTTAATGTTATTTTAGTGGCAATATGTTTATCATTGACATGTTTACTATTAATAATTCTGACTGGTATCAGTTTATTGATTGCGTTTTGCATATTGCCACTGTAATCTTCAGAAAGTGACGATATTTAATGTCTTGGAGAAGTACGATGATGAGGTGACGGGTGACACCGACAATATTCAATGGCAACAATTTTCTCCATAGCGTTGCTATACAGGACTATATCCACTTCATTTATTATATAGTAATAAATCTTTTAATTTGTTAAGTTTTTTTGAATCAAAAAAAAAAAAATTCGTTTTTTTTAAGTTTGAATGAGTTGAGAATAAGAAAAAATTGGATGGCGGAAGTTTTTCTGAGAGGTCAAATATTGCCGACGGTGTGATGTCTTTTATTTTTTTAACTTATGAATAAGTTTTATGAACAAATTCTTTTTTCCTGTCTTCATATTCTATGAATCTGTTACACTTCTTAATCAGAAGTGATGGTAGTATTTACGCTGACGTTTGATTACTTAAAGGACGTATGAGATGTCGTAATTTCTAGTGCTTGCAATAAAATATGTCCTCAAAAAATGTTCATAATTCGCCTACTAACTTCATCCAGTTTATTTTAACACTGTATTGCCGATATTAATATAAGATCTATTTGACTGATATTTGTATTTCACACCGGTCTTTTATCAATTTTTTTCTGCATTTATTAAAGAATAGAGAATTGATATCATATTTTTATGCATTGCATAAATTTTCAAATTATCACATTTTTATCTTTAATGGTCTGTATTTTTCGTTTTGGTAGTTTATGAATGAAATCAAACATTTGCTATCCAATCTACTTGATATGATAACATTTGTCATTATTAATCGTTAGGCTCTTTTTTTCAAACCAATTATTTGATTTACGAAAACACAATGCTTGAATTGGCAATTGAGCGATTTAAATGATATGAAATTTCATCAAGACAAAAAAGAAGGAAATATGTGTAATGGATAGGGATATTCCTTTGTTGATCAGGAGTACTCATAGTTGAAAACAATGGCAATTTGAAGCGATGATTGAAACGTCACATTCTAAAGCTTTGATATGAAATGTTAACAATTCATGATTTTCAGTACTGATAAAGAATTATTGGAACGAGGAAGTGAACACCTTTGATCTCACCTTTCACCATTGAATACTTGATTGATTCATCGATATCGTTGGACAGTTTCTTATCATCCTGCTATATCATTTAATTTCAACAGACAGAATAAAGTTTCAACGATCATGAATGGTGTTGCTATATTAAATGGGCGTGGTTAATAATTAGATAAACAACAAGATTTGATGTTCTTCGAAACAAGTACAACAGATTCAGGATAATCGTCACCCCGATCACGAGACGGCGATCGGCACCGAATAACACAGTTGCAGTTGTAACACACATCAGTATTCCTGCACATAACATCATTTCCACTTCGCTAAAAAATCATTATTTCATCAGGAACGAGTTGTTGTAATACCGTCTTTTCTTCTTCGACATTCGGAACAGAAACGACTTAGTTTATCTTCTTCCGGATTATGATAGCAATCATATTAATTTATTTAATCACATTTTATTGTTAAATCAAGAAAAACTTCAGCTTTTCTGGTTTTAACGCAACCTTTTCGATTTGAGTCCAAAATTGCTTCTTTTATTTATTCGTTCTTTTATTGCTGTTAGAAATTTGATTTAGCAGCAAATCTGCAAAAATTAGAATTGATCCCTTACCAGGGATTGAATCTGCAAATTAATTTTTAGCAAACCTAAAAGTCACAAGTTATTTGTTGCAACATATTTTATGACAATATTCAATTCAATGATGCGGAAATTGTTAATTTTGGTATTCATTATGACACTGATAACTCGATGGGTCTTCAGCCGAAGTAAGTCCTTCAATTTTATTTTTTATTTTCTTTAATTTATTTTCTACTTCAATGATCGTTACTTGAGAAGAATATCACAGTTACTCATTTCAATTTTGTAATTAGTCGAATAAAATTCAGTCACTTAGAATTCAATTTTTTCAAGTCATATTTCAACTTCTTCTTTTATTTGTTCAGGAATGCTGCGAATTATTCTGATCAAAAATTCATATTTATCTTCCTATCGAGAATATTTATGTTGTCTATAATTAATATGGAACAATCATATTGTTTATAATTCGTATGGACTGAATGAAATTTACTATCTACTAAGTTGAGTTGTTGAGCTCTCAAGCAAAGGAGTAAATTAGTGCTTCAGAGTTGAAATTTGAAAATAAAAAAAAAAAAAATTCTTTGAATTAACAAAGAAAAAATGAAGGGTCAATAATATAGTAACTTTTATTTTCCGCAATGAAAGCTTGATCTTTTTAGTTTTGAGTTCACTTTAATAATTTCTTTTTTTCACAGTTAAAAGTATGAAGTTTGAACTTCCCAGCTAAATTTGTCTAAATTCCTTGAAATTAATTTCTAACCGTCCTAAGAATAATTAAATGGTGAAAAAAAAGAAGGACGATGTAATTGTGTGACAAGTGGTCGAGAGGTGAGCTGTGTAATATCTGTCCTACTTTTCAACTTTTTTTTCTTAGCAGTAGCCATTGATGAGGATCAGTATCATCTCTACCACCAACTTTGTCAATATCGTTCTCCCTGTCTTCATTTTTTCAGATTTTGTAACTATTTTATTCCAGCTTTTATGACACAAATGCATCACTTATATTTGCTTAAAATGCTACAAATTTCGTGTTGAAGAATTAGGATATATTTTTTTGTAAAAAAATTTTTCAATTCTGTTTTAACTCTTTATTTGAAAAATCCACCTTTTGTCACAGTTGGTGCAAACACTTTTTTTAAGAAGTTTTTCTAACGAAGGAATGGTAGTAATCTTTAAATGCTTGAATTAACTGGTAATATATGCAATCAATACACATAGCGCAATTTATCTATAGTTGCGGTGACAGCAATTTATTTCAAAATAATAAAGGCTTGCCGAGTACTTGAGTAAAACTGTTCCGATAATAAGAAATGAGTAAATAAAATAGATCAAAATGAAATCAAAACAATAAATAAAGTATAGAACAAATATAGATTAAGTACAAATACTATTATTTCATTTCACGTATGAATCCTTAAATGAATAACTTCGAAGGAAACAAATTATTTTGAAAGTTATATACTCTCAATCATTTTGTGACATTTTTTTGATTCTTGGAAGAATGAAATGTACTTGATAATAATTACTGTATTAGTTTGTTATGTTAAAGTTTTTATTACACAAAAAATTTTGAGTATTTGGATCACATGAGAGCAATTTTTCATAACTTAGAATTTTCATCAACAGTCTTGTTGATTCTTGCTGGCCTTGACAAAAGGTACTGCAGCGTAATAATTAAGAAAATTTTGTCATCGATCTCTTTGAGAGTAAGACTCATTGGAAATGAGAGATCTTCAAAAAATTGAGTTTAATAAGGAGGAAATTCCGGGTGATAAATATCGTTGTTTCCTTACTAACAGTAATAAAGAAATTGGAATGACAGTGGAGATTTCTACCACTGAGGCTAGAATGATTAAAGATTACCGCCTTATTACGTCTTATTATCGGTGTTACTAATGAGTGAAATATGCTAATTAATCAAGATTTTTTAGCTCAGATATTGTGCACTTATACCCAAACTTATTAATTAATGAACTGTTCAATAAAAATTATGATATTCAATGCTTTTTCATTTACAGCAATCAATATATCAGCACGGTGTAACTTGGAATCAGATCACACCAAACTTGGACGATGCTTGCGACCATGGCTCGATCTGTGGGAGATGATACGAGTACAAGAGGGTCATGCGTCCAATCTCATGTATCCGGTGTTGTCTGAATGATTTTAAATAAATGAAATAAAAAGAATAAGATGAATTTACTCTATATGGAGTTCAATTAATTTAAATTAGATGAGTTGAACTGAGTTAGAATTAATTAAATCAAATAATGTGCAATTAAACTGTTAATGTGTTTTTATTCAGTTTCGCAACATTTTCAAACTTTGTAAAATGGAAATGGACCGAGACCATATTATCATAGTACAATTGAAAGCCACTGAAATTATCATTGAAAAGTGAAACTCTTGCCTAAATTTTTGCAGAAATTTCAAATCGACTATTTTCCCAAAAAATGTTTACGATTGCGTTTCAAATGATTACTGATATAAATTGCTTAAATCAAATTTAAATGTATTTTCCTAAACAACTAAATCTTTTCTAAATAATTAAAAATCAATTCATTCAGTCTTTCACTCTTATTTGATCAAATCTAAATATAAGTTGTTGCAGTTCAGTTCAATTCAGTTACGATTTGATTGATCAGAAGCATTTACTTTGTTGAGATTGTTTAACTTAATTCACTTTAATTCAATCATTTTAATTCGTTTGGTCTTTTTTTTGCATAGAAACTTTAAAATGTATGCATTAAATTTGTAAAGAATGTGCTATAATTAGTATTTATAATTTAGAAATTCAACTTGAAATTATCAATTTGGCAATTTGTTTTTTAGCATCTTGCTTTTTTTGAAAAATTATGGTAAATTTCCTAAAAATTTGTTTAATTTTGTTACACTCAATTACTAAATTATCGTACTTTAGATTCCATTCTATTCCCGAGAATCCGTGTTGTTCCTCTGCAGTGCTTACCTTGACAGTCGATCAACATGCATGACATCTGAAGTGCTTGAAAAATGCAAGCATAACGAAATGATTATCTTCATACAAAGCCACATGCGCTATTATTGTGGAAATAAAGCCAAACTTGCATTCGAAAATTTTGGCTGTCTCCACGAGTATTTTTTTAAACCTCAAACTGAATTTCATCTACAACAAATTAAATTTTATCTAAAATTATAATAAAAGTCTTATAATTAATTAGTGAAAACTTATAATTAACTTATAGTTAATTCGATGAAATAGGGTTCTTATAATTAATAATTTCGATGAAAAGAAAATTTTCCAATCATTTCATTCTTGAATTTGTTTAAATTTCGTAAAATGCAATAAGAAATCTTTTTGCTAAAATTACATCGTTATAGTTAAATGGTTAAAACAAATGAGAAGTGCTAATTGCTTAATTAACACAGATATTTTTTCTGAAACTCAAAACTTATCCACAAAAAAGAAGATAATTAATTTTTTTTCATTAAACTTCAGCTTTTTTGTTAAACTTAATTGCTGCACTACTTTAATATCGAATAGTGATTAACTAATTTAAATTGAACTTAAAATATATTTTTAGTCGTGCATATGAATTTTAGTGCGTTAATGTCCAATCAACATTGTTGGCGACATATTGAGGATATCTCATCGCCCACCTATGGAGAAGGTAAATGTATCAGCATACCCACGTTTTTTAATTGTATATTGCCTGGTGTGCGATCGAAATGCGAAAAACCCGGTGTTCATATTCTTGTCGATGCAATTACTTCATTTGGATGTGCTCTTCAAAAGGGTTAGCTTTTTTCCTTTTTTAAGTATTAATGAATTCATATTGGCATAAATACTGACCCATTATTTTTTCGCTTCTTTTTTGTACTGCAAATTAGCACTCATTAAGAAATTATTGTTAAAGTAGAAAATAAGTGACATTTATAGAGTTGGTACAACAATCAGTAACATATATTGCAAAAATGAATAATACTGGTGAACTTACTGAAGAAGCTGGAAAAAGTATGCTTTATCATTTGGATGATGAAAAGAATCATTTTTTTTTTTTTTTTAGTTTCGTTTGATAGAAAATTATGAGAAAAAAGAGCTGAAAAACGAAGTAAAAAACAAGATTGCCATTTTAACAAATTTCAAAATTTTTGGAAGCTCTTTTCATTGATATTATATGTATGCATTTACTCATACAGGCATAATGAAACATTTATATATATATGAATTAGGACTAGTATCAGTTGAGTATTATTCAAGTAGCAGCAGGAGTGTACTAGATAACGATTTTGATTTTAAAAAAGTAATTAGTTATAAACTGACAAATTCAATTAAGGTAAATTACAACTTAAGGTTTCACAAGTTTTAATTAAAAATTTGCTGGAAGCATTCTACAGAGCTTCCATAAAACAACTATAAAAGAATTTGAGCGATTCTCAACTTCATATAAACTGTTTAATGTTGATGAGATATCCGCGATTTAATTACTGTCTTATAATTTGCAGCGTATATACGGAACCAGTTACCGTCTGCGCTTCCCATACTTGATGAAGAAAGAAATGGTCAGTAATATAAAAGTATATGCCCGTTTTGCAAAAAATTCTGGAAAATGACTGACAAAATTCCTTACCGGAAAATATGTTCCACGCACCATAACTCTGTTTTATCGGTTTATATTGAACATAAAACCCACTGACTTCTTAGAAAATTCGAGTTACGAATTTTAATTTTATGAAAGCATTATTAAACTTCGTTCTGTATTTCAAATTTTTGATCTATAGTAAACATATGGTAAGAAAAGAATATATGTTTAATTAAATCGTCAAAGACTAGACAAATTGGGCGCATCTGACAGAAATCTAAACAGCTATAATTTAGTTTGCGCCAAATTTTTGAGTTGTTAGAACAAAATTTCGTCAGAAATCGATTATTGAACAGATACGGCTTAATGAAATACAGTAAAAGCATTGTTAGATTTTTCTAATTTTATATGATTTAAATCACTCTTTGAATTTTATTAAATTTTAAAGCAAGGCCTTCGATTCAAAAATATATGACAGTGCGGAATAATTTTGACAACTTTCACCTTTCCACTTCCACTTCATCTACAACAAATGGAATGCAAAATGAAAGCAGTGGAGTTGAATTATTCCATCAAACAAATCCTTCTAATGACTTATTAAGTCCATTTCTTAGCAAGAAACAAACTTCCGATTACCGCCTTGCATCTGATCGAAAAATCGATTCTGACTTGGATTACGGTAAGACGTTCGGAATCGATCTGATCGATTATGAAGCAGAATATTTGACTGATCAGAATAAATAATATGTATTTTATGTGATGCAAAATTTACTATCTGGTGTGAAGAAAGTTCTTGAACTTGCTCAGGTTGTCATTGCAACTTGTGACAATGAATATGTTTAGGTTTAATTTTACCAGAAAAGTTTCCATTCCGAATTAATGAACTATAAAAGAGGTTAAAGCTTTTGAGACATCGCTACGGTTGTAGGTGTTACTATTGCTATGAATAGCAAATAACAAAAAACATGTATATTTATAGAGAAGAATATTTTATTTTGTTTAGAGCAAAAATTTTGAATTTCAAAATTGACGCAACTTATTTCCAAGCTAAAGTATTTTATTTTTTACAAAATTAAATTGATTTATTCTTGTTTGAGTTTTTATGCAAAACTGAATTAAGAAGAACTTAATAGTCACATGAGAAGTATTTGCTTCTTGTATATAATTTCCTTCTTCGAATTTCAGCTTAATTTTTAATTAGAAAACCCTAAATCTAAATTGAATCCAAATATTTAACTCCTTTTCAAATCATTAAATTTTCTAGTGGAAGAAAATACATTTCTGCAGTCAGACCCAGCAATTGAAATAGCATTCGACGATGATGAAAGTGTCATAAGTATTTCTAAAAGTTGGTAGTTGATTTTTTATGAGAAATATAAAGAAAGTCAAAATTTGATGGTTTGAACATAATTTATTATAATAATAAATAATAATATTATAATAATAAAAAAAGTTATCTATATGCCATGAAGTTGGAATGACATACCCACAATTATTCCGGGCTCGAATAGTTAGTAATTTAAATGATATAACAAAATTAATACTTATACTGATGGTACAGTCCCTAGTACCATTCATTAAATATTCTTTGAAATAGATTAATGTGAAAAAGCTAATTTGCAGCCAAATCATTTACGTGTACAACGAAGCAAGAGGAACAGATCGTTCAGTGTTATGCGCCTTTGATCGAGTTTGTTTAAGAACTGTTATTCAAATTTTGCTCTTATTGATAAATGAACTTTCATTTCCAACATATCTAAAATCATTTGAGAGATTTGTTAAAATGAGTATTCCAGCTATGCTGTTGATATAACTACCAATCTAATATTAAGTCAGTTTCAGATTATGGAATAAGATACAGAATCGGCATCGATCTTTTGATGATATTTTATTACCCTTTTTAACCTATGATTCAAAAGAACTGAATGACTTGTGTGATCTTCTGGACGTTATCTTCGATAGTTGCTTTACAACTAGTCTTATCAGTAACTGCCGAGATAATATCGTATATTTTATATTAATATCTTAATTCATTTACAAAATGTTCTTTAGTCAAGGAATAAGGGATCAAATAATTTTATAAGCAAATATTTTTGCAGAAAATTAATAAATTTAAACTTCATGGATAAAGGGATGAGTAAGTTGAAATACATTCTTCAGTTAGGTTTCACAATGAAATTAAAATTCATATGAGACTATGCAATCAATCTTAATCTTACGACAGTAGATAGAACTGATATAGATCTCATATCATTGATCTCTTATGTAAAAAATGGACCAATTTGAATTCAAAACGCCAAGAATTTATTTTCTCGGTCATATTGTTCATTGAAAATAGTTAACTTTAGAAATCTATAAGTAAAAGATTCCTTGATTTTTATGTGAACATTATTGATATACATGGAAAATAAAAAATCCTACAGTATATAATGCCAACTAAGTTAATGTATTGTAATCTCTTCCCAATTTATTTTCTTTACCTTTTCTTAAGAGAAGATTATTCTGCCCGCAATTTTAACATTATCATCAATTTCGATTCCAGTACATATTTAGAACTGATCCACTGAAAACTTTAGCTGATGGAATTCGTGGATGAACATTTTGGAATAATTTGCTCGAAAACGGGCGCCGGTAATCTGTTCGAATCTTTCACATGTCTTAGGAAAGTAATCATCGAGGAAAAGGTACTAATTTATGGTTGCTTATCAAAGTTATGATAATTTTGAAGTTAACTTTTGTGCTGAAAACCACTGCTTTTAAAATCAACGATTTTTTTTTACAAAATGATGCATGAAATAAAGTTAGAACTTACGAAATCTGAGAACGACCATCGAATTATAATTTTTTTTTTTTTTTTAACTCAGAGATTCGCATCACTTCAAGTTACAATTTCATAGTTCTATAAAACTAAATTTAAAAATAAATTTTTTTATAAAATGAAAAAAATAAAATTGGAAATCTCAGGTTCATATCACAATGATTGGTAACCCACAGTGACCACTATCAGCTTCATATCATAACGACTGGCATGCATTACAGGAATGTACCGCTATCATACGATATAATAGCACTGGGATAATTCATTGTGATCAAATGTCGCACTTTTTTGATTGCTTACTGGGTGCTGTACAACGGAAATGTACCCAGGAGACACAATTCTTCTTTGCTGATATAATTACAAATTTCGGTTGCACTGCTAGTTTAAACCAGCATAAATGTTAGCAGAACAGTTTTCTCAACAATTTCAATAATTTTTCCAAAATTTAATTAAAAATTTAATTTTCTCATAAAATTCTGAACGCTTAGTAGAAATAAAATTGCAATAAATGATTATAATCTATAAATGCAATAAATGATTAAAGTAAAAATTGCAAATGACTACAAAAAATAATAAATGATTATAGTCTATAAATGCAATAAATTACTAACATCCTGTTAAGTCTGATCTTTACGATTCATTTCAGAAATTAAAAATTTAAGATTTCTCACTTTTAGCAAATATAGAAAGAAGAACTATGGAAAAAATGAATATGAATCAGAAACAGCAAAGTGTATCAGCCGAAGTGCAGAAGATAAATCCTTCAATCGCGCAAGAAAGACATTCGGTGAAGATTCTGGATGGTGAACTATTTTCCTACCAGTTATCCACAAAATGCACTAAAGAAATGCAAATTAGGACAAGATTATGTGTCCAACCGTTGATGCTTAGATGGAACAAAATGCGACAGCAAAGACCGATGTTAAAAAATGTACGTTAAAAGCAATTGCTGTCATCGATACTATTAATTTATACATATTGCCGCTATAATTTGATATCCAAACACTATAAACCTATAATGTAGAGTGCTAGACCAATGATTTTTTTCGGGTCTAAACGCATTTTTGTAAAATATTCAAATTATTAAATTCATAAACTGATAGTGAATCATTTTAATTTGATTCCGTTGGATTATTTTACTCATTGTTAGCTGCTAATAATAACTGAACATACAAGGTGTCATTCCCTATGTATAAGTATACTCGACAAGAATTGCTAGAACTTTGTGACGGTTATGCAAATATGTTTTTATGTGCTGGCTTTGAATCGATCACGATTTGCCTTAACGATGAAATGGTTTGTTGATATCATCCATTCCTTGTAGCAATTGAAAAATAAGTCAAATTAGGCGATGACTTCATTACTTGCATTAAAAACTACTTACAGGGATTGCTAGAGCTTTAAGATGGATATGCAAATGCATTTTTAATTTCAGCTATATTTTGACAATGCCAATTTTCGCATAGTTATAAGCTTTTGAATTTCAAATCTCGTTTAACTGATTTAAAATGTAAAATTCTTGACTTGAACAAATAATTAAAGGAATGGATTTAAATTGAAATATAGGTTCGATTTGCCCGAGATCACTTCGGATACATCTGTACACCTCAAAATATTAAACGTTTCATGGAACATTATGAATGTATTGTGGAAGTTGCTACCATTTATAATGAAAGATGCCAGATGTTTATTACTGGTGTAGCAGAACCAGGAAAAGATCTGGTAGGTGCTTATTAGTAATCATTTGCAAGATAATAAATTTTTAAGGGTGATTTGAAATTTAAATGACTTGAAGGTATTGATTTGTCCATATGATATGTCTATTAAGTCAGTATTATAACAGAAGAAATGCCGTGGCATCCGACAATATTACGACTGCATGAAACCTGAGATTATATGGAAGTGTCAAAGTGAAGCATTAAAAGAATTCGAAACATCAGTAATCGAATATGGTTGCGATTTGGGTCTTAACGAATCTCTATGATCATGATTAGTGATAATTGACCAATCACAAAATTGCTGAGATATTGTTTATTTATTAATCTATTCATTTGATGAGTCTCTTCAACTTTAAAAATCTTGTGATCAGTACCTGGCACTTTTGTTATCGTATTGGATGAAAAAAAAAAAAATATTTTCTTCATTTGAGCGTGGGAAATTGATGTCTTGATTACTTCTAACCAGTATCTGTATTATTTACTTGGAGAAATGAAGTGTATTCTTTATAGGCGAATTGCGATTTCATTAGATCCTATTCAAATCTCTGCGACTTGGACTGTTAGCTAAATTTCTTCATTAAGCTCACAATTTGGTGATGCAATATCTGACACTCGATCTCAACCCACGTATTACTATTATCTACTAACTATGCGCAAATTTTCTAATTAATTTACTTTTCACGCTTCAACTCTCTATTTATTCTTGACTAGCTTTTACATGAGCTTACGTATCGAGAGCTTTTTTAATAAATAATCTAGAAATTATACACTTTTTTCAGATATAGTTCCTATGTGCAATAACCTAAGAACTGGGCATTTCTATTACAATGATCTAGTATTACTCTATAAAGGTATTATTTTGAATAAGGCTTGTTGAGTTATCACACATATCGAGAAGGATTCAACGTTGTTGAAATCATCTTCTCATATGAGCATAATATTTTAAGTTATGAAAACAATGAAGCATTTAAATATAAACTGAAATAAGAGCCCTCTAAATACACTCTCTCATCTTTGAGCACAAAAAAACAAAATTCTAGCCCATCTTAACTTGTGAGGCATTTATGCAAGGATCATTGGTATATGTTATGCGAACTGGGGAAAATTCTTCCAGAATGGATATCCACTTATAAAATGTTACATTTTTCATCTTCTTTCAGCTAATCTTCTACCAAGAATTTGTTCGCAGTTAAAAGTCGACGAAAATCACAAATAAGACCGAGAAAATAGGGATATTTTTTTTTTGGATTTCTTCAGAAAAACAAAAACATGAATGGTGGATAATATTTTTTGGATAATATTAGAAATTGTTGTATAGGAATGAATGTTTACATTGTTTATGTTTCTAGTAATTTAGCTTAAAATCCGCTTGTAGCATTTGCAAACATCGCTCACAAATAGAAATGCATTTTAGTCTCCAATTACAACCAATTAATGCTAATTTATATTTGTTTTCCTCAATCTCTCTTTAAAATCAGAACAGTGATGGATGAGAACGTGAAGGAATACCGATGAGAGAAGCCATGACATACTAGCTGTCATCAAAAGATGAGCCTAAGGCTTTCAGCTATCATAACGAACCTCTTTCCAGATAAGCTGAAGGAATGTAAGGATTGTTGCGCACAATTTGATGAACCTATTTATGAATGTGCACATTTCTGCAGCTCTCTGCTCTGAACCTCCTTCAAGAATGTCCTCAATGAGTCTTTAAATAGTGTCACACAGACATACATCCCACACAATCAAAAAAAACCAACAAACAAACAAATTATAGGATGGTACAGACAGACAAAAACAAACACGTGCACATAGACACACACAACAATCGCATACTCACAGACATATAAAAATAAAATAATTCTTAATAGGCTAATTTCAGAGCCATAAAATGGAGGAAGTTGGCAAGAGACCAAGGTCCATTCACCCATCGCCACTGATTCTTCCCTTTTAATGAGCCAGACGACACCAACCCCTAGCATGTGCCCAGTTGTCGATGATTATCATCCCAAACTGATCAATCATTCTGTTCCTATATGCTTGTGCAGATGAATTTTTAGTTCATAAAAAATTTTGCAATATTTGCTAAATTAAGGGAAAAATCCAAAATTATTAAGCATTGGTAGATATTAGAGATAATTTGCTCCCCTATGATCATGTCTTGGTGTCATTCCTCACCGGGTTATCATCTCTCTCCTCCAAACTGTGATCTACCCCAGCCTCATGAACTTTTGAATGGTCCCTCGTTGTCACTGTGCTGTCAGCTTTAGTTAGAAAAAGAAATAACCATTGGCATGACGCCAAAGGATTTTTCAAGTGTCTGGCCAATGAGTAATGTACTGGAAGGATGGCTGTTCCGCCTGTCTGTCATCATGATAAGTCTGTACCGGTTGGTGCCATCGTCCACATCTCCAGCAACCATACTTCCTCAATTTGTCTCTTTTCCCTTTCTCCCATTTGGTGACAATAACTCTCAAGAATCTTTCAAGAACAGCATCACCTCCCTGCTGACTTTCATTTTGAAAGTACAACCGGAAATTAGCTCAAATATGTGAAAAGTCAATCCAGTCCGAGAATGCATTACTTCCGGAAAGATAGATAGACAGACGGGACACACATGTACTATAGCAAATAGCAATATTAGCTGCAGTAGCAGTAGCAGTTAGCAGTAGTAGTAGCAGCACTTGCTGATATTATGATCGGTTGAGGGGCGGTAAATGCTTCTGTTGTAATGAGTTAATTTATTGATATTTAATTTATTTTCTAGCCGTGTACTTCCAGCAAAAAATTACTTCATTTTATTTACATATGAATTAGAAAGGAAAAAAGAAATTCTGGATTTACTGTCTCTCTCCATTCTCTTGACATACATTTCATTTCGTTTCATGAAGGAACTTTTTCCCTTGTCTGTCAAATATTTCTTAAAAGTCGTCTAATTAATGCTCAAGAATGCAAAATTGAAAAAGCACCTATAAAAATTTATGTGTCTACAAAACATTGGAGCATAACAAAATGACGAAACACAATGTGGACGCAAATAATTTGATCAATGTTTCTTTCCTCCAAGTAGTATACTTCTTGATAAATGTATTAGCTGTTTGCACGATTGCCCATCCTTGGTTTTTTTTTCTTGGAAAAATGAAAAGAACACTGGAGTCTGGATTGCTAGATATATTAGCAGCGAGGGATAACTGGGCTCGTATCGTTCACTCTTAGCTCAAAAAATTCTTGAAAAGAGTTGACATGAACGAAAGCTAAAAGCTTTTTGGTTTATTTCAAATGGATTAGAAAAGAAGTGATTAAAAGGTGTGAAAATAAAAAAAGAAAACTTTTCTGTATATTTTGAACAATATGCAAATTTTTGAAAAATGAGACTGATAAGAATATAGCATATATATTTGGAGTATTTTTTATAATCGAAGCCTTTTTTTCGTCAGAATCAGAAATTATTTGTGCTTAAGATTCTTGCTAAATATCCTTGTGTCTTTCATCTCTCTCTGTCTCTCTTCTTCCTTTTAAGTTTTTCCAGAAACATTAAAATTAGATTTTCTGTTGCGAAAGATTCGAAAATAAATGACCTGTTTCAGAACATAATGGAATATTTTGCATGGAAAAGATCCAAAGTATACGGAGATGATTGATTTTGAGAATTCTTGTTGTTTTATCTTCCTCTCATCCGCCTCCCACTTCCTCGCCAGAAAAATATGGCTAATAGAAATGAAATTAGATGAGAAAATGATTTAAGACGAAAGAAGGAACCATTTCAATGTGCTTTTTCTTGTCTGAAATCCAACATAAATCCGTTCCTTTTTCTTTTACGGAAATCTGTTTCATTTGTTTCTTCTGAAAAATAAGTCATTTCGAATTTATTAAACGAAAGATGAGTTACATACAGTATGGAAGGCAAAATATAGAAGAGTTCTTTCCAGCAATTAATACATCTTTTAACATTTATTGATTGAAACTTTTCTTTTGAGGATCATTTCTTCTTTAAAGATGAGAAACTAATTAGTCATTATCATTTTTATTTATTTCTCGATGATGAGATTTGATCGTATGAGAACGCTTAGAATGCTATTATTACTTATCTGACGATGATAAATGTAGCATCCTTTACTTCATCTTCCATCGCCTCTTAATCTTTCATCGACCACCTTGTCTTATCTTCATTGATATGATTCTCATTCTTATCAACATATTCATCGTGTGTGCTAAGAGATCGTAACATATATTCGCCTGATAACTTGTTGAGAAAGAAATGTTAACTTAATCAAAGTTAGCAAGAAACCATCAAAACTAACAAGTAAATCGACTATATCCCGACAATAAGCAATAGAGTAAACAAACACAAATCGTTTCAGTTAGCTTATTACAATGGAAAAGAAGCAAATAATCAAACACATACACATGGGACACTGTGTCAACACAAAGACTCATTCTGTATTTTCCATGAATACAAGTGGTAATGGTTAAAGTAATATGCATCGGGGTCATCTGATCATTTCTCCTTATATTACTAAAAAGACTTACAGTGCCAATCAGCTAATCATTGAACTTTTTGCTTTAATTCATTCGTTGGTTAAGTAATTTAAGGCGCTGTACGTTAAAATACCTTTAAAAATTTACAATGAAAATCAATGCTTTCTTCACTGAAAAAAATAATATACAAAAAGGATGGAATGAATGCCAATCAAATCAATTTTGTTTTATTTTGAAACATTTTATACGATATATCATTCCATATGAATATTATTCAATGATTTGCCCGGTGCAGTCAATAACTGAAAGAGAAGAAATTCCGGTTGAAAAGAACATTCATGAAAGAATTGTTGTAAGGAAGAAATGAAAAATCTTTTGGTTCATCAATGTCTTTGTTTGCACAATTTTCCATACAATTTTTATTCAAATATACACAATGGCCAACAATAAGCAAAACTGTTATGATATAATAAGTCGTGGAGCTAACAATTATTCGTTTCTTTTTTTTCACCTCTTTCATATTTCTTATATAATTTTATTTGTATGACTTTGGTCATTTGACTTTTCTTTAATATTTGTCAAAAAGAGAAGTGAAATTCATTCATTTTTTTCTTTTGATATTACATTAATATTAAATTCGATCATCCATTATATACTATTGTTGAATTCATTTGCCTATTTTTTAAACAATTCAAATAGTAACAGTTTCGGGCAGATGGCATTTCCATGTCTGATACAAATGTTTCCAGTGAAAAAATTTTAAATCGAACTGGTTCAATCCTCAAGTGAAAATTTCAAGGTTTAGTGTGAAATACTTTGATGAAGTTAAATGAATTTAGTTCTTCACTATCCTATCTGTTCTGGTTGCTATTGGCATTACTCTGAACTGAAATTAGAATTTTTTACGTAAATTTTGGTTGAAATCCCTGAAGTAATTTGATAATACAATTTAACAAGATTTCATTTATTGAAATCAAAACGAAAAGAAGAAATAAAAATAAAGAATAAAATACGTTGAAACAATATCGATTTACTCCTGATTACTCACGCATTTCTCGTATCTGACAAATAGATACTTTGTGGAATTTTACAAACCATTTTTTTCAAATCATCTCATTTTCCATCAATTTCTTCTTTTGTATTACAAACTTTGACCCCTTTTTCTCTAACGGACAGATTTAAGAGAAAGAAGTGTTCATCAAACTTTTTTTCCAAAACTTTTATTGTTGTAATTTCGTAAACCTGAATCTTTAAATGCATCGCAAAATTGATTCCTCACAGTATTGGTACAAACTGATTCGATTTTAAAAATTCATGAAATTTATACAAACGACACAGCCTGAGGATATCGTTAAACGTTTGCTGTAAAGTATTGACGCATTGAAAACCTACAAATATGCTTAATTAACTAAAAAAGCTACTTTAGGTGATTTTAATGTGATATTACTTTCAAATATCAGAAATAGAAAATCCTTTCCTCAAAAAAAAAAGGATGGAGCTACGTAATCAAGTAAAACGATGAGGCGATATTTGTTGGGTAAATGAACCAACAAATAAACAGATAAGCGATAAACAAACAAACAAGTAGCAACCATAAACGAATTTACTTATTTCATTTCCATTTTTAAATAAATTTCTCTGAAGAATTTTAGAAGAAAATTGCAGTTGTCCTATCAATATATTATTCCCACTTAACATTATTGTTAGTGTAGCAACTACTCAGATCCATCATTTTACAATATCATTGTCGATATCTGATAATTTTAATTCAGTAATTATATAATACAGTTGACATACTCCAAAACATCAACGATAATCATCACATTGTCCTATGAATGCAAAGTAAATCGCATTTACACTACTTCTTTTCGAAATAGCTTTATTAATTAGTCTTAGATCTTAAGTCTACCAATTAATCTTACTTATTTGTTGCAAAGCTATGACACTGTATTGATATTGAAAACGATATGAATTTACAATGTAAAGTTAGTATGTAGTCATATAAGTACGCCTAGTATCACAGCTTTCTTTTTGATATCGATTACACTGATTGATAATTGAGTGCTTTTTCCCGATCGACTATCATTCGTCTTTTTTAACCAATTATTTAATGCATACGCATGCAGTGCAAATCAGAAATGCCATAAATGTAACCGTTATAAGTCCCTTTTCCATCATTTCGCATAATTTAAAAAAAAAATAAAATTTGTGAAGTGTGGCAGATCGCCAAGAGATCCAGACAGACATCACGCAGGCATGACAGAGGCAGAGGTGGGTACATCATTCTGCAAAACGCGAGCGGATTTGTTTGTTGTCTCGAGCACCACCCACTGCTAGGAATCTTGAATTGTCTGAAGGAAGTGAAGTGAGTTATGCTAAAACGTTGCTTCATATCGTATTGAAAGTGATCATTTTTACGTCTCTCTTACGCTTATTTTTGACGTTTACTTTTTTATATTCATTTTCATCTCATCAGTATAGTACTTTGTCTATGTCAAATGAAACTGAACATTAAACATTTTTAAAAGTATAAATTTTTGTTTCACATTCTTTTAATTTCATGATTTCCTTCTCATGCATCTGTTAAGATACGTTGCTGAGAATCAATATAATAGATCAATTTTACTTATCTAACATTTGTTGAACAGCCATCGATTAATATATAATTTCGTGATCAGATTTGTAACATATTTATTCAACATTTTTGCTTGTTAACAAGACATTAATTAACTTTTTCCTCGATTGATTTGAGAAAAAATGGCAAATCATTTCTGTTTATAGTGTTTGATCGGAATTAGAAGTTGAAAAAAATAAATAAATAATTAAAAGTTGTAAGTGTTAAATGGAATTTTGCAACGTAAATAATGTTGTATACACGAATAAAAGAACCAAAGAAAACAACTATTGCAAAATAGACTTGCATCACAAGTATTTCAAAAGTTTTACTAAACTTTTTGGACATTAGGGAAGTGTTCCTTATGTGTGTTTACATTGCATTTTAGGTACATTGCTGCATTTCATTAAAAAATTTTTTTCTGTTTAATTATAGAACTTTATAAGATGTTCCAGCATATTTTAACATCGTGAATAATAATAATTGTTTTGCCTTGAAATTAGCTATGTATAAATAGAAATTCTGAAGTATGCTCGAAGAAGAGTAGCATAAATTCTAATTTCAAACTAAATAGTATTCGTAACATGAGCAATAAATTAAACTTAACCTACGGCAACATATACTTTCATTCATTTTAATTTTTTACTTCATCAAAAATTTTTCGGAAAATAATTTCGATCAAATAAATTACAAATTCTTGTTATTACAACTTTATATACTAAATGAAGCGAAAATTTAAAAAAAACTAAGCCTCCACAAATTCGCAGGAAAACAAATTGACTTTCTTGTGTGCATTATTCTAACTATCAGACTAAAATTTAAAATTTTTTCTCAATAGAAAATAAAACATTTAAAATTCAAAAAAAAGTGGAAAACGTTCCATTTGTTGTCTTTAGTTAATTTTGTTGCATTTCTCCGAATTTTAAGAAAAGTGCCAATAAATAAAATACTACTGCATTTATTGGGAAAGCATTTTCTTTAAAAAGATTGAAATTTTCATCTGTACAACGTTCAGCATTCACTTTTCCTTTTCCCTTTTAAAATATATTTTTGTGGAAGAGTGGTCTGGAATGTTGCTGGGTGAATTCTGAAATTTATTTCGTTTATTTTTGAAATGCTATGGAGAACCTGTTTATAAAAGAAGAGCAGTTAGTGAGTATTTTGCTTATAACCACCGGGTATTATTCATGGAATCAGAAAAGTGCGTTGGCTTTAGATAACAAGCAAATAAATCAAAGGAAAAAAAAAACAAATTTTATTTTTCTCTCTTTTGTATGTAAACCAATTTTTTAATTAATTCTACCATATGAAAGCGAATTTTAGGCATTTCTTTCTAAAAATAAATTAGATGAAAATAGAAACAATTATCAAGAACTACTGTCCATTGTTTACTGTGACATTAATTAGCAGCTTAACTGACCAAGTAGATGATAATTAAATGAAGCAGTTTATCGGTGATATCATTAGCTACTATTTTTCTGAAAAGTCTAACGCATAATGCTTTTTATAGTCACTAATAACAGTATGTATCGAATGATAAACTGATAAAGAATGGAGATATCTTAATTGAATGTGTGAAGCAGGATATTTCAAATATTTTTCTTATTTTAGGGCTCCTCAAAATTATCATCGATACATGAAAACTCTGTGGGCTCCAATTTCAATAATAACTTTCGAACAGTTAAATTGATGGAGAAAATTGTTGAATTTTGCTGCACTTCCAGCAAATTGGTAGCTTCCTCATTTTCTTCCTTAACTCTCACTGTTGCATTCTTCCATTATTATGCAACAATCATCGATGACAACTGTTTCCTTCATAACAATTCCATATAATGTACATATAAATATGATTGGAAGAATTGATGCACCATTTGGCTCCTCAAAATATGAAATTTTTTTAATGAAAAATATTTCTTCATTCAAGTAGGATGATGTCACATAGATTGAAAACATTCCTTGATTGATTTGTAAGTAAACTGTAAAAGATAAGAGTATAGTTGTACTTATATCGGATTCCGGAATTGATGGGACATTTAAAAGAAAAGATATTAACATAGAAGATTAACATAGCAAGCAAGTAAATAAGCATTGGTTTGCACTTGCATTCTTAACTTTTTTTTATTCGCAGCATTCGATTCATTGGAGTGAATCACTGGCGCAGCAGACGTTTACGTCATTTCATTAATGGAAAGGTGAGCAATATTTACGCAAACGAAAATTTTACATGCAAAAAAGGAAAAAAAAATGCAATTACCTGGATAATATGAGATGTTGCAACCTATGACTATTGTTCTTAGCTAAACTAAGGCTAAGTTAATATATTTCGATAACTTTTTAAGTAGATTATTGACAAAGAGGAAATGTTCACTCAGACGAAAGCATTTCTTGGCAAAAATATCCTTTGGCTCAAATAAACGTATTTCTTACTATCTTAGGTATTCGAAATTTGTCAGTCACTAGGCTCAATAAAAAGACAAAGGAGAGCAAAGGAATGCTTTCGCCAAAAGTGTAGTGAGTTAGATGACATGGCATTGGCCACTAAAATGTTCCTCTCTCTCTCCCTCTCTCTCTCTCTCTCTCTCTCTCTCTCTCTCTCTTTACTGCTCTCCATCTGGTCTATTTTTCAACTTATTCTTAAAAAAACGAGAAAAGACAGATGAATAGTTTGGATTTCACTCAAATTTAAAGATATTTTATGCATAAAATAATTGCCCTTACCTCGTCATTGTCACTTTTACTGTTGCGCACATTCGAGAAATGTCGTTTGGCAATTAGCGCATTGTAAAATGTACTTGAAAGAGAGAAATAAGAAAGATTATGGAATTTGGGATGCGCTTTACTAATTCCATTGCTTCTTGACTTCTTCATTTCAAGTGAGCGCTTCTGTCAATTTTGACAAAGCTTTTGAGGAAAGGAATTTCGACAAGTGTCACAGCTTTTTAACCGACCAATATAATTTTGATAGTGATGAGACGCACAAAAATAAGATGATAAATGAAGATTATCCGGTTTTCCTGCTAATGTTTTCGCTTTCAGACGAAAATATTAACCGAAAGATTTTACTATTCTACTTCATCCAATCCACCTAGCGTATAGCATTGGTAAACAGTTAGATGTGTCACTTGCACTAATCAAAAACAAAAGAACATCTGCATTCTAACCACTGTTTCTCTGTCACATCTTTAAACACAATTCATATTTCAAAATCATCTGGTTAAAATGGATTTGATAACAGAAATTTAGGCGGATTATTTTGCAAAGTCTACCCACAGCGGATCGTTCGATTTCGTTTTTCCTCCGATCAAAACAATTTGAACATTTACTGTTTGATCTTGATGATATAAACACCATAATTAAATGAAACATAGGCATGAAGACATACAAAAGAATGAAATAATAACTGTATTTTAAAAAATACTCCAAAAGTAGGTATAATATTTTTTCTTTCTCCACTATCACAATTATTGAGTTTTAAACGTATCTTACGTTTCTCTTACTGATTTTTTCAGTTGCTTTTTTTCTCGTTTTACTTGCTACTGTTGAATTTTTCTTTCGGTTAAACTTGTTTCTGGCAAATTTGTTTATATTATTCGTTTCATTTTCCTCTTTTTTTTTTAATTTTTGTTTTAAGTAAAATTACGAAAATTGCTTGCATTTTCTTGCTGCCATAACTTTCCTCAAGAGAGTCATCATTCTTCAATGAAATTCAAGCAATTTATTTTAGTATATTCAATTCAGATTTGTTCTCTCCAATGTGTCATCATCATCATCATCATCACCATCATCATGGAAATAAATTTTCGCTCATTCAGCTCAGCAAATTCGCTCGTTGTCCATCTGTTACCGTACAAACATATATATATATTCATTGATTCCGTCTAATCCTAAGTTATTATTTAGAAATGAATTGCCAATGGATAGTACTGCATCACTGGACACTTTAATAATGAATTTACAGCAGTTCTGAGCCGTAAACACTAAAATTACAATTAGTATTCGTAATGTTTTTTTTTTTTTTTTTTTTTTTTTGTTTTTCTATTTAACCTTCTCCTTTTGTTGCTTTTATTTTGGTACTTTTCTTTTTCCTTTTCTCTTTTTTGCTGAAAAAAGTTACACTGATTTCTTGGATGTTTAATGCAAAGAATTTTCCAAAAAGCCAACCTTACTCTCATTATCACATTCGAATAAACATCAATATTTATAATTCTCAAAAGAAAAAAAAAGTGCTATTTAATATTTAATGTTGTTCGCATTACTTTCCAAATATGAAATTGGGTATAAAAGTTTGAATCACATTCTTATTCCTTCGAAAAGTCGTATTTATCTTAGTAAGAAGAAAGAGAAGGGAAAAAGAGAAAAAGAAAAAAGAGGGATGATTAATCCTACAGAAAATCTTCGTCAAAATTTTAAAATGAAAAATTTCTGGGGGTATATTAATAATTAGATATAATCATTGTTTGGTACAAAAATTTATGGAATTTGGTACGAAAAGCTCTGGTTTCTCACTTTGTGCGCACTTCTCCTCCTCCTTCTCCTTCTTCCCCGTTCTCTCTCTCTCGTATGGTTTGTTCGGTACAACAATAACTCTTTTTGATGAAACCCGACAATGGATCCAGCAGATTTTCACAGCTTCATTTATTTTCCCATAACTTTTGGTGATTTACAGCAAACTCTAGTTGTTTCGAATGATAATTCATAATTGTAAGATTTTGCAACAATAAAGGAATTTATGATTTTGTTAATTCTTCTGTTTCTTTTTCTCTCTGTCTCTCTCTCTCTCTCACTCTTCATCTGTTCCTTTCAGAAATTTAAAAGTTAGTTTGAGAGGGAAATGCAATGAGAGATAAGAGGATTTAATCTACCGGAAATGATCACGGGTAGCAGTAAATCATTTGCTGCTATTTTTTCAAAACAAAACAATGAGCAATTCAATTCAAGAGCATATCTTCTGAACAGCCAACGGCTAACAACTGTCCGGATGCAATGGTAGCACAATGAACATTGCCGGTTTTTTTTTTTTTTTTCACTTTTCTGTTGCTCATCCAGTATGATATATTACTTTGCTCAATAAATCGTAGAAGATTACAGCTTTTCACAGGACTAGTAAACAAATGATAATATGAAACAGAATTTATTTATTAATTACCGATATATTTTCTTGCAGATAAGAAGAATAAATTCTATTAAATATTGCAATATTGCTAGTTAAAAGAAAGAAGGCAGATTTTGATATGCCTAATATTGGAATATTGGAATATCAGGATAAATTTCAGATTGTTGAATTGATTTCTAAAAACATCTGTTATGTACAGCGATAATTTCTTCCACCAACGTTTTGATTTAATTTGCGATTTAGATGTTTTTCAGTACTTTAATTTTCGAAAAAATTCTTCATGACTGTATGACAGACAGATCATTTGTTATATCTTTGTGTGGTAACGGGATGAATAAATGACTTCTTGGTTAACATTTTTACATTATCTTGATATTGTGATTAACATTTTTACATTATCTTGATATTGTGATTAACATTTTTACATTATCTTGATATTGTGATTAACATTTTTACATTATCTTGATATTGTGATTAACATTTTTACATTATCTTGATATTGTGATTAACATTTTTACATTATCTTGATATTGTGATTAACATTTTTACATTATCTTGATATTGTGATTAACATTTTTACATTATCTTGATATTGTGATTAACATTTTTACATTATCTTGATATTGTGATTAACATTTTTACATTATCTTGATATTGTGATTAACATTTTTACATTATCTTGATATTGTGATCAAATAATTGTGACTCCGTACTTTGTTATCATAACTTTGCCCTTAAACCAAATAAATTTCCTTAAAAAATAGTACTTTATTGAAGTTCTTTTCTGTGCTTACTATTGATTGAGCATTTGCATTTTATTTCAAATCTTATTTGATACATTGTCTCAAAAATAGCAATCTTCTTTGAATCCACAGTCACAGTCGTACGGAGTGTTGCTGCACTTTGAGGTTTTTCAAGTACATTCTATGTTCTACACTCTATTGCTCTTTTGGTAATTTTCGTTTTCTAAAAGTTTTGAGCACTTCTCAAAATACTTCCCTGTCCTTCTTTCTTTCTTTTTTTATCAAATTCTTTGTGCAATTTTGCATTCTCTCCAGCATTTATAAAATGTCCCATTTGCTTTCCGTTTAATGCAATATGAAAATATAGTACATATACTGGTTCCCTTTTTCAGGTTAACATCATCAGTTCAGTATATCCTCGTTTTATATATCGTTCTATATCTATAAGGATACCACGAAAAGTTCAGGCTATCAGGATAAATAAAATATGCTGTATTGTTCATATCAGAAGAATTTGATGAACTTTAAGGTCTACATTTTCCTTTCAACATTACACGACAGTTCCTATTAGAATATTTGAAAAACTGAAAAGTTGGAAAAGGAATGGTGAGAGATGGATTAATGATTCACATATTCATTCAACTGATTCTTAATTACATCTAAAGTTTTTTTTCTCAGAAATGAACTATTCATCACACGTTGAATTAAGAGGTATCATTTGTGATTTGATCAGCGAATACAACTTGTTTCAGTGAATTGTTTAGTTTGTTAGAGAATTCATTTCTTATTGGCAATCGGTGAATACATAGTTAACACAAAAATTGAGTAGTAATTTAGATATGGAGTACTAAACGTAATAGGTAAATCTAAAAGGAATTTATGATAGCTATGATGGATAATTATAGTTTCTTTTAAAAAGTGAAAATTTTTTAGAAATGCTTTTGTTCGTTGTTTATTTTCTCATCCTTCTCCGACATTGTTAGCTACTTGTTAAATTATGCCCGAAAGATTAATTAATGAAACTAAAAGAAAGAATTAAATTCTTGAACGATAGAAAAGAAATAAGATCAACTTCGTAAAAGGTACAAATGAAGTCACACAGCGATTTGCTGTTTTTACTGAACTGACTTAATTGACAACTTCATTTCATCCTTTAACTTATTTCTTTCATTGAATCACTTTTAGAAGACTCATGAAGCTGAAACAATGCTTTTGCCACATTGACTAGTCTAAAGCAGAAGATTCGAACCATCAAATGATTTAATGAATCCACGAAATTTACTATTGCCGCCTGATGTATGTCCAAAAAAATCTTTATGTATGTAATATGTCTAAGAAGCATTGAAATTTCGATTTTTTATCTCAAAACATTTGTGTTGGCCAAAAAGAAATAAATTCTTTAAAATTTAAGCTTTTAATTTGTTAGCATAATATTTTTATTTAGCCCATATATAAAAATTTTTTTTGGCAAATTTACGATGACGCGATTTTTTCACATTCATTTACATTCGGATGAACATGAGAAGCTAAATTGGAAATAGTAAAGTTGATTTTGGCGTTATTATCCATTTCGTTTTGGCTTATGAATGATGAGAAAGGTATGCTAATTAGAGTAGATTAAGAATAAGATTGTTTTTCAAGGAAGAAAAGAAAGAAGGAAGAAAGGGAAGAAGGAGAAAACCAAGGAATACTTAGGATTATTTATAGTCTGCATAGGATCATGACATCAAAAAGGGTGCACGATTCTCAATCATGTATCTTTTTTGGTGACTATTTAGTAAGGATGTGATCAGTTTCGATCGTTTTGTGAGGAAGTTTGATAGATATCCACCCGTTTACCTATAAGTGCACTTTTTAAGGTGTAATTTAATTTGATCTCATTTTATCAATTTTTATTTGCTACATATAAACAATAAGCATTCCCTTATACATCCTTTGTTTTGTAACTTTCTTGAAAAAAATTATAGTTTCATTTAAAATCTAATTATTTCATTACTTATTTCATTTTTGAT